AATACAATCGATGTTTTATAATACATAACTAAAAATATATAAACAAAACTGTCAATACTCTGAATGATCGATATACTTTAATAAGAATCGGAAAAAAGTGGAAACAATCGAATTTATTTCCATGACCTACCCTACCCCTAGTATCGATATCCTCTACTAAAGATCTGTAAGAAACCAACTTTGAAAAAAAATATCGAAAGCAAAAGTATCGATCCCTGAAGTATATATACACTTTACGAATCGAAAAACTGCGAAAAAAGTTGAAATACAATTTTTCTATACTTCATGTAAAATATCGGAAAACAAGGATCGATGTACATTAGGTAGAAATTTAAAAAAAAGTGAAAAGTTTAAGTTAATTAGTTGCATTGCAAGTGTATCTATATAATATAAGAATAATTTTTAAAAAAGTAATAATAATTGGGCGTCGGTGGCCGCACGGTAGGCGTTGACACGGCCCCCATCAGTCTAAGATGAAGGTCCCGGGTTCGAATCGCTTTTTTTCAAAAACCAACCTGAGGGTTTATATGACCTCTGCGGTTACGAACCTTAGTTTTTCCATGCACCTAAAATATAGAAAGATAAGTATCAATACATATAAATATCTATACACTCTAAAAAATAATGGAAAAAATTTGAACCACATTTGTTGTATTTTCCATACACCTAAAATATCAAAAGATAAGTATGGATGCCCATTAAATATTTATATTCTCTATTTAAAAAAAAAAAAAAAAAAAAAAAAAATTAAGCAACAAAGACAAAGCTGAAGGTGGGCTTTCATAGGCGCTGGAGGGTCCTAAAAAACCGAATAAATAAAACAAATTTGTTTTATGTCTTTAAATATACTTAAAAAATTAAAAAATAGATTTAAAAATATTTTGAACATAAAATAACATGAAAAAATCAATACTCCTTAAACTTCATGAAAGGTAATTTCAATAATTTTTAAAAAATACTTCAAATATTCGGATTTTTTTAACCCTTTAATTACATAAAATCATCAATAATGTCATAAAAAATTAAATATAATTTTTCTTTCTTATCTGCCCTTAACATGCCACATTCTACTACGCGTGTATTATTCGATGTATTTCTAATTTTTATTTTTAACGTCGTAAATAACAAAACAGGTTGTTTTATTTATTATTAAATGAGAATTTTTTTCAGAAATCTTGCACCAAAGACAAAACAAAGACACAAATCGGAGGGTATGAAAGAGCCTTCATAGCGCTAGATGGTTCTAAAAAACTGAATAAATAATAAATCAAAAACTATTTCTTTAAATATTCTTAACATTTTGAAAAGTAGCTTTAAAAAATATTTCCAACATAAAAGAACATGAAAAAGATGTGGATACTCTTCATACTCCATGAACGTTAAACATGCCAATATTTTTTTTTAAATACTTTCAGTACACGGATTGTTTTTTTGTAAACACCATTAGATATATAAAATCCCCTATAATGTTGTAAATGTGTGGTGATTAGTGACCGTTAATCGATAATTATTCAGAAATCGTGAGATGCGGTCGGGTGTGATGTAGGTTTCAGAAAAACATTTTCTTTATCGTGCCAACGTTTCGCTCTTTATTGAGATCATCTTCAGAGCCTGGGATTTACAAACATTGTTTACATTTAACAAATACATTTAGGATGTGGAAAAGAAACAATGTTTGTAAATCCCAGGCCCTGAAGATGATCTCAATAAAGATCGAAATGTTGGCACGATAAACAAAATGTTTTTCTGAAAGCTACATCACACCTAACCGCATCTCACGATTTCTGAATAATTATTAATAGAAATGATGAATGATGGATTGAGTATGGTGTTCAATCCTTTTTTAAAAAGGATACAACCGATATTTTTTCTATGCACCTAAAAAATCTTGAAAGACAAGTATCGATACCCATTAAATATCTATATTCTCAAAAAAAAAAAAATAGGAACAAATTGAACTACAACCGACATTTTTTCAATACACCTGAAATATCGAAAGACAAGTATCAATTCTCTTAAAATCTATATTTTCTAAAACAATGAAAAAAAGTTGAACTACTGCCGATGTTTTTCCCATACACCTACAATATCGAAAAAATCGAAAAATAAAATACCCTTAAATGTAAAAAAAAATGTGAACTACAGCCAGTGTTTTTTTCAATACATTTAAAATATCGAAATACGAGTATTAATACTCTAATATTTGTATTATTTAAAAAAACAAATAGGCAAAAAATTTGAACTACAATGGATGTTTTTTACATCTAAACTATCGAAAGACAAGTATTAACATACTTACTTTCCCTTTAACAAAAAATTGGGAAAAAAAGTTGAACTACCGCCAATGTTTTTTTTCCATACATCTAAAATATTGAAATACGAGTATTAATACCCTAACATCTATATATTCTCTTTTAAAAAAATGGAGAAAATTGTTAAACTACAGCGGATGTTTTTTACTTCTAAACTATCGAAAGACAAGTATTAACGCACTTACTTTCCTTTAAAAAAAAAAAAATTGGGAAAAAAGTTGAACTACAGCCAATGTTTTTTTCCCATACATCTAAAATATTGAAATACGAGTATATACCCTAACATCTATATATTCTCTTTTTAAAAAAATGGAGAAAAAAGTTAAACTACGACGGATGTTTTTTACATCTAAAATATCGAAAGACAAGTATAAATACCCTTAAATGTCTACATTTTCTTAAAAAAATGGAAAAAAGGTTGAACTACAGTGGACGTTTTTTATACCTAAAATATCGAAAGACGAGAATTTATATGCTTAAGTATCTTTATTCTCTAAAATTAATTGAAAAAGTTTAATTACAACGATGTTTCTCTATATCTCAATAAAATATGGAATGAAAGTAGTACCCTGAATTATGATGCACTTAAATCTATATATTCTCTATAAAACAATGGAAAAAAATTTTCATCTCAACCAAAAACCTTAAACAAAAAGAATAATTTGGAATAATTAACATGGACAATTATGGCCATTATAAGGACACCAATATATGGATTAATGGGAAAAAAATTGAACTAAAATTGCTGTTTTTTCCTACACCTAAAATATCGAAAGACGAGTATTAATACACTTAAATGTCCATATTCTCTTTAAAAAATGGGAAAAAAAGTTGAACTACAGTCGACGTTTTTTACACCTAAACTAATCTCAATAAAATATCGAATGAAAGTACAACCCTGAAGTATGTATGATGCACTTAAATCTATATATTCTTTACAAAATAATAGAAAAAAATAATTTTTCATCTCAACAAAAACCTTAGCTAAATTGGAAAGAATAATAAATTGGAATAATTAATATAGTCAATTATGGCCATTATATGGACACCAATATTTGGATTATTGGGAAAAAAAGTTGAACTATAATAGCTGTTTTTTCCTACACCTAAAATATCAAAAGACGAGTATTAATACCCTTAAATGTCTACATTCTCTTGAAAAAATGGGAAAAAAAGTTGAACTACAGTCGACGTTTTTTACACCTGAAATAATCTCAATAAAATATCGAATGAAAGTAGTACCCTGAAGTGTGATGCACTTAAATCTATATATTCTCTATAAAATAATTGAAAAAAATAATTTTTCATCTCAACCAAAAACCTTAGATAAAAAGAATAATTAATATGGTCAATTATAACCACTATATGGACACCAAAATATGGATTATTGGAAAAAAAATTGAACTATAATTGCTGTTTTTTTCCATACACCTAAAATATCGAAAGACGAGTGTTAATACCCTTAAATATCTGTACTCTTTAAAAACAATGGGAAAAATCTGTGCTACTTTCCATGTTTTTTTCCCCACACACCTAAAATATCGAAATATAAGTATCGATACCCTATCTATATTGTTTAATCGGAAAAAGTTGTATTCTAAGAAAAATCAAAAAACTGCGAGAAAGTTGAACAAATCTATTTTTCCATTACTCGTTTAAAATATAGAGTAAAACGTATCGATACTTGGTATTATGTAGTTAGGATCTGAACCAACAAAGAAATAAAATGTGAAAAAAGTTAGTTGAAATGCTAAAATATTGAAAGGCACTTATAAAAAATCTAGTGACCCAAAGTGATACATTTTTAAATTTTAACTACAAATCCAAAAAAATAAAAATAGGTCGAAATGCAACTTACAAAATTGGGATATTATCGTTCTCGTCAAAAATTAATTCCAGGTAGTATAAACGTCTTTATCTCCCCCATTTCTCTCCCCTCTAAATTGTCGTCGATAAATTAATTATGTATTAATTTCTCCTCACCGTCTTCGTGTGGGAATCGGGCCATTAGGAAAACAATCGCTCGTCATAATTCCGTTCCTCGTGACGCAAGGAAATTTGCATAAACCTAGGACGGAAGGTGCACAGAGCATGGAGTGGAGGGCGGCGTAGGAGGTCGCCAACGGTCCCTAACTGGACCAGACCAGACCGACTCACCTACAAATTACACAATAGCACCTTAAACACGTTGAATAATTTACAACCCTTAGACCTGATCTCATACGGTTTGATATTGACTCCTTGAGGCCGGGTTTTTTTTTCTTAATGGGCTGAGAGGACACTAGTTTGTTTATTGCCAGCCTTCTTTTGATTCTTTTTTGTTTTTTAATCAATAATCATTAAGTAATTAGTTTTAGCACTGTTCACCTTTTATGTAGGTTATGCATAGTGTAATAAAACCGATAGAGTAAATTGATATTCTTAAGACATCTTAAGAGTACTGCTCTGAAGAAGTTAAGCACTGTCGGGACCTCCTTCAGCAAATAATGTACCAAATTTTTGTTTATACATGGATAAAAACCTATACAATTCTTCATATTTCATTGCATTTAGTTTATAGTTGTAAAAGAAAAGTTCGTGAAATATTGATTTTTTTTATGTATTGTAATCGACATGACACCATAATTGCCATTTCTCGCATAGATGAAAATTTAGATATACTTATGGTTTTTTTCATTTTTGTTTCAGTCTGCATCGGGACGAACGGTCGTATGTCAGTGCCGTCAAACAGGGAACACCACTACAGAAATCTAAGAGACAGGTACACAAACTGCACCTACGTAGACGGCAATTTGGAGCTGACATGGCTTCAGGACGAGAATCTGGACCTCAGCTTTGTCCAGTACATACGGTAAGTCCGTTTATCATCTGGCTCTTTGTCGTTTCGGGTTCGTTCTAGAAACTCTGGCCGACGTAAATCAAATTTGCTGTTTAGACGGATCGAATTACGCGCTCGGACGCCTATCCTAGGCACGGTTGTCGTTTTACCCTGTGTCATAATGTTTCTTATCGGAAAATACGGTGTAAAGATTAACACGGTCCGTGCTAAGCTAAACGCTTCTGGTAATGACAGCAGCGGAAAAAATAGCTGACCGCGCAGGGGTGGAAAAATTTATCTCATTTTAGCTATTCATTTTATTTTTGTTCTAAGACTCCACCACCCTGTTTGGACGGGTCAGGATTATTTTATTATTCAAGTTAATCTTAAGGTCAATTTTTAGCCTACATGGAATATTTTTTCCACATATAACGATCCAACATCCAAGACATTTTTTAAATTTAATTGTTGGTTAAGCCCCATATCTTTTTCTGTTTAGTATAGTTAACATGTCAATTAATTAAATCTCATTTTTTTACGATTTTTCACCTTGGTGGGCTCAAAATTGAAAGATGAAGTTCATCTCATTTTAGCTGATGATTTATTTTTATGTTAACTCACCACCCTATTTGGACGGATAAGGATTTTTTTTATATATTCTATTTAATCTTCAGATCAATTTGTAACGTATATGAATTATTTTCTCCTCTTTTTTTTCTTACAAAAACCACAGATTTATCCATGGCTAACTAACTATAAACTTGAGGTCAATTTGTAACGTATATGAATTATTTTCTCCTATTTTTTGCTTTTAACAACCACCATTTTACCATTGCTAACTAATTACTACTAATAAACATATTGATTTATTTTTTGGATAAACCTCACATACTTGCAGAAAAAGTTATGATTTTTCTCCTTGATCACGTCAAAATTGAAGGATGAAAGGACTTTATCTCATTTTAGCTCATGGTTTATTTTTATTTTAAGTCATCGCCCTGTTTGGCCGGATCAAGATTTTTTTTTATATACTATTTAATCTTCAAGTCAATTTGTAAGATATATGAATTATTTTCTCCTATTTTTTTTCCTTTTAACATCCACAATTTTACCACGGCTAACTAATTACTAATAATAAACACAATTATTTATTTTTTGGACAAACCTCACATACTTCCAGAAAAAGTTATGATTTTTCTCCTTCATCAACTCAAAATAGAAGGATGAAAGGACTTTATCTCATTTTAGCTGATAGTTTATTTTTATTTTAAGTTACCCTGTTTGGATGGATCATGATTTTTTTTATATTCTGTTTAATCTTCAGATCAATTTGTAACCTATATGAATTATTTTCTCCTGTTTTTTCCTTATAACAACCACGATCTTACCATGGCTAATTAACTTATAAATACATTCATTTATTTTTTTGTTAAACCACCCTTTTTGGACGGCTCAGGATTTTTTCAAACCTTTAACCTACATGAACTATGTTCTCTCTCACTCTCTCTCTCTTTTTTTTTACCCTCTTAAAACAACCACAGATTTGACCATGGCTAACTAATTATAACCGCATAAATCCAAGACATTTTTTAAATTTAATTGTTGGTTAAGCCCGTTATCTTTTTCCATTTGGTGTACTTATCATGTCAATTTAAATATCCTTTTTAACTATTTTTCTCCTTGATCGGTTCAAAATTGAAGGATGAAAGGACTTTATCGCATTTTAGCTGATGGTTTATTTTTATTTTAAGCCACCGCCCTGTTTGGTCAGATCAAGATTTTTTTTTTTTAAATACTATTTAATCTTCAAATCAATTTGTAACGTATATGAATTATTTCCTCCTATTTTTCCTTTTAACATCCACAATTTTACCACGGCTAACTAATTACTAATAATAAACATATTGATTTATTTTTTGGATAAACCTCACATACTTGCAGAAAAAGTTATGATTTTTCTCCTTGATCACGTCAAAATTGAAGGATGAAAGGACTTTATCTCATTTTAGCTCATGGTTTATTTTTATTTTAAGTCATCGCCCTGTTTGGCCGGATCAAGATTTTTTTTTATATACTATTTAATCTTCAAGTCAATTTGTAAGATATATGAATTATTTTCTCCTATTTTTTTTCCTTTTAACATCCACAATTTTACCACGGCTAACCAATTACTAATAATAAACACATTTTATTTATTTTTTGGACAAACCTCACATACTTCCAGAAAAAGTTATGATTTTTCTCCTTCATCAACTCAAAATTGAAGGAACTTTATCTCATTTTAGCTTATAGTTTGTTTTTATTTTAAGTCACCACCCTGTTGGATGGATCATGATTGTTTTTATATTCTGTTTAATCTTCAGATCAGTTTGTAACCATTATGAATAATTTTCTCCTGTTTTTCCTTATAACAACACAATTTTACCATGGCTAACAAACTTATAAATACATTCATTTATTTTTTTGTTAAACCACCCTTTTTGGATGGCTCAAGATTTTTTCAAACCTTTAACCTACATGAACTATGTTCTTTTTTTTCTCTCTCTACCCCTCTTAAAGCAACCACAGATTGACCATGGCTAACTAATTATAACCACATAAATCCGAGACATTTTTTTAATTTAATTGTTGGTTAAGCCCCATATCTTTTTCCATTTAGTATACTTATCATGTCAATTTTAATATCCTTTTTAACAATTTTTCTCCTTGATCGGTCAAAATTGAAAGATGAAGGACTTTATCTCATTTTAGCTGATGGTTTATTTTTATTTTAAGACTCCACCACCCTGTTTGGACATGTCACAATTTTTTTATTTATTATTATTTTATGTTAATTTTAAGGTCAATTTTTAGCCTACATGGACTATTCCCCCCACTTCATATTACGATCCAACATCCAAGACATTTTTTAAATTTAATTATTGCTTAAACCTCATATCTTTTTCTATTTAGTATAGTTAACATGGATGGAAAAGGATTTTTTTATATATCCTATTTAATCTTCAGATCAATTTGTAACGTATATGAATTATTTTCTCCTCATTTTTTCTTATAAAAACCACAAATTTCCACCATTTTACCATGGCTAACTAATTACTGATTATAAACACATTGATTTATTTTTTTGGGTAAACTTCACATACTTCCAGAAAAAGTTATGATTTTTCTCCTTGATTGGCTGAAAATTGAAAGATGAAGGACTTTGTCTCATTTTAGCTGATGGTTTATTTTTATTTTAAGACTGTTTGGATGGATCATGATTTTTTTTATATATAATTTTATTTTCTCCTGTTTTTTCTTTATAACAACCACGATTTTACCATGGCTAACTAACTTATAAATAATTCATTCATTTTTTTGTTAAACCACACATAATTGCAGAAAAAGTTATGATTTTTCTCCTTGATGGGCTCAAAATTGAATGTTTAAGGACTTTATCTCATTTTAGCTTATGGTTTATTTTTATTTTAAGATTCCACCACCCTGTTTGGATGGATCATGATTTTTTTAATATATGATTTTATTTTCTCCTGCTTTTTCCTTATAACAACCACGATTTTACCATGGCTAACTAACTTATAAATACATTCATTTACTTTTTTGTTAAACCACACATACTTGCAGAAAAAGTTACGATTTTTCTCCTTGATGGGCTCAAAATTGAATGTTTAAGGACTTTATCTCATTTTAGCTTATGGTTTATTTTTATTTTAAGTCACCGCCCTGTTTGGTTGGATCAAGATTTTTTTTTATATACTATTTAATCTTCAAATCAATTTGTAAGATATATGAATTATTTTCTCCTAATTTTTTTCCTTTTAACATCCACAATTTTACCACGGCTAACCAATTACTAATAATAAACACATTTTATTTATTTTTTGGACAAACCTCACATACTTTCATTAAAAGTTATGATTTTTCTCCTTGATGGGCTCAAAATTGAATGTTTAAGGACTTTATCTCATTTTAGCTTATGGTTTATTTTTATTTTAAGTTAACCCCCTATTTCGAAGGATCAGGGTTTTTTTATATTCTATTTATCTTCAGATCAATTTGTAACATATAACAATTATTTTCTCCTCTTTTTTTTTCTTATAAAAACCACAGATTTGGCCATTGCTAACTAACTATAAACACATTTTATTTATTTTTTGGACAAACCTCACATACTTCCAGAAAAAGTTATGATTTTTCTCCTTGATCGGTTCAAAATTGAAAGGTGAAGGACATTATCTCATTTTAGCTTATGGTTTATTTTTATTTTATGTCAACCCCCCATTTGGACGAATCAGGTTTTTTTTTATATTCTATTCATCTTCAGATCAATTTGTAACATATATGAATTATTTTCTCTTGTTGTTTCTTATAAAAACCACAGATTTAACCATGGCTGACTAATTATAAGCACATAAATGTAAGACATTTTTAAAAATTTAATTGTTGGTTAAGACCCGTTATTTTTCTACCTAATTGTTCAAAATCAAAAGATAAAGGAATTAATTTCGTTTTAGTTCTTTGTTTTATTTTAATTTTAAGATATTTTAATTTTAAGACATCACCCTGTTTGGATGGGTCAGGATTTGTTAAAATAATAAACAAATAATAATTTAAATAAAATAAAATAATAGTTTAAATTAGGTCAATTTGTAACACATATGAATTGATGTTTAGTTGAAATAAAAAATAAATCAATAAAATGTAGGATTTATGTGTTTATAGTTACAGAAAAAATTAGATAAATTCCTTCATTTTTCAATTTGAAGCCTTTCATGGGGCAGTATATTTAAAGATATAAGTAAAATACAATGTTGACATGTAAAGTTTGAAAAAGAAGTTTGGTTCATTCAAGCATTCAGCTCAAGAAATGTTAGCTTACATAAATGGTAAAAATTAGAAAATTTTTGTGCGTCACTGAGTTTTTAGGCATTCTGAACTCCACTGTCAATTTTTCATTACACTTTCATCTAAAAATTGTGAGCTCTGTTCGGCGAAGAACCTGTAATTTGGTCCTTTTCGAATATTGCGGTCTGCCTATCATTGTTGCTTTGGTCCGTCAGGCGCTTTTCTACTTGTCTCGCCACCTTCAGTAGTAAATTTTAACCGAAGTTATTATTAAAAAAATTAAAATGACGAGAAGCCAAAATCATACAAAATAACTTAACTATACCGTACCCTTGTCCTGCTTTTCCAAACCTCCCAGATTATTTTTTAGCATACACATGTGTATACAAACAAATTTGATTTACTATTTGGTTTCACAATAGTGGGTTAATTCAAAGAGGACTTGATTTCAATCAGTTCAAACCAGCTGGATTTTTCTCCGTTAACACTTTCAACACATTCTTCCTCTTTGTTAAATTCAGACCTTAATGAATTGTAATCCTAGTTTTGTTCGTTCGCCTAAAATATGCAATTATTGTATGTCGTTTTGTTTTCATGAGGGTAAACCGATTCTTAGTTTTCATTACAAATCAATAATATGTTTGCTAGCATTTGTCTTGGTGTGCCTTTCCTTTCTGGGTCGGTCTGTCAGACTCGTTTCAGCATATCGCCTTCTTCGGCGTGTCAAACCAAGATTGGTAACAATTATCAGACCAAGGGAAAAAGTCTCACATATATTGTTGTTACCCAAAGTGTAGTTTTCATCCCTTTCTTTTAACTTGTGTTTATTTATTTAGAAATTTATATTCTAGATTATTTTACTTTAAAAATGTGAATAATATTTATAATGTGTTATTTTTGTATGTTTAGGGAAGTTACAGGACATGTTCTTATATCACATGTCGATGTAAAGAAGATAGTCTTACCAAATTTGCAAATAATTCGAGGGAGGACACTGTTCAAACTGAATGTAAATCCTCAAGAATTTGCCCTCTTGGTCATTCTGTCCAAGATGCATACACTGGAGATGCCGTTACTACGAGGTACGTTTTTTTTTTTTTTTTTTTTTAAATCGAAATGTTTTATTTGATTTTTTTCCCTCGTCAGACATTTTAGCGGGAAGCGTCGGGATGTACAACAATTACAACTTATGCCATATGAAGACAATAAACTGGACGGAAATAATAACGGGGCCAGGTTCAAATTTCACATACGTCTACAACTTTACAAACCCAGAAAGAGAATGCCCGCCGTGCCACGAATCGTGCGAAGCCGGCTGCTGGGGCGAAGGCCCGCAGAACTGCCAACAGTTTTCAAAACTGAACTGCAGCCCTCAGTGCTACCAAGGGCGCTGCTTCGGACCCAAGCCGAGAGAATGCTGTCACCTGTTTTGCGCAGGCGGCTGCAGAGGCCCCAAACAAAGCGATTGTTTGGTACGTACAATAATTTCAAAAATACCTATTGTTGTCTTTTTATAATATATTATTTTTAGGCCTGTCGTAATTTCTACGATGACGGAGTTTGTACCCAGGAGTGCCCTGCAATGCAAAGGTACAATCCTATCACCTACTCCTGGGAAACTAATCCACTAGGAAAGTACGCTTACGGAGCTACATGCGTCAAAAACTGCCCAGAGCATCTTCTAAAAGATAACGGAGCTTGTGTTCGGAGCTGTCCTCCTAAAAAAAAGGTAAATTAAAATCAAAGATTTTTCTTTTAGTTCTTAAACAGTTTTGAAAATTTAAAAAAATATATGAATTATACATGCCACAGTGGATTTGAAACACTAGGTAAAAGAAAGCAAAATATAACATAAAAATTAATTTGACCCAACGGTTAAGTTTAAAAATTGCAATTTTTACAGGCTGTGAATGGAGAATGTGTGCCATGTGATGGCCCTTGTCCAAAAACCTGCGAAGGTTCTGTTAACTCAAGCTCTCCCCAAGGAATGGTACACGCCGGCAACATAAATTCTTTCAAAGACTGCACTATCATCGAAGGTTCGTTGATAATCCTCGACCAGTCTTTCAAAGGTTTCCAGCAGTTCTACAGCGACTTCTCGTTCGGTCCTCACTATCCCGAAATGCACCCGGATAAATTGGAAGTGTTCAGCACTTTGAAGGAAGTTACCGGATACATCAATATACAGGGTTCTCACCCTGATTTCACCAACCTTTCTTATTTCAGGTATGTTTCTCGACGGTTCAATCAGTTTTGCAATGTTTCACCGGTTTTTTTTTTCAGAAACCTTGAAGTTATCGGTGGACGTACGCTGACTGAATACTTCGCTTCGCTCTACATCGTGAAGACTTCGCTTAAATCTCTTGGGCTGAGATCGCTGAAAAAAATCAACTCGGGTACCATAGCTATTTTAGAAAACAAAGACCTTTGCTTTTCACAAGGAGTAGACTGGTCAGAAATCAAAAGATCAGCCGAACATGGGACACTTCTTCAAAACAACAAACCCGAAGCTGATTGCAGTAAGTATCAAAAATATATTTTGATTTAATTGCTTTAAACATGTTTTTTAATTTGTATTTAATTTCCTTTTATTAGTAACTGAAGGACTTGTCTGTGATCCTCAATGCTCGTCTGAAGGATGTTGGGGTCCTGGCCCTGATCAATGTCTCTCGTGTGCTAATTACAGACTTGGGACCACTTGTCTGCAAGATTGTGATTTAGGGTAAATTTTGATATCTAGTAATAATAACATAAATGTATGTAAAAACTGATTAATTGTTTTGATCTCAGGATGTACAAGGCGACAAATAAAGTTTGTATGAAATGCCATGAAGAATGTGCATCTACATGCCATGGACCCGGGCCGGGAAAATGTACCAGGTGTAAAAATACTAGAGATGGACCGTTCTGCGTACCTTCCTGTCCAGATAGCAAGTACAACGCGAATGGGGAATGCAAGCCTTGTCATACCAATTGTGTGTACGGTTGTAAAGGACCTAACAACACCATCGGCCCGGGCGGATGCAATTCTTGCGATAAAGCAATAATCAACGGGGACATTTCAGTCGTAAGTTAAAACTTGAAATTAAAATTAATTAAGGTTTTTAGTTGAGATAAAAAAGTCAATAGCACGAGCGGGATTCGAACCCACGATCTTCGGCTTGATACGCCGCTGCTCTACCACTTGAGGTGTCGGGACCTCGATCCACTCTAACACTAACTTCCCATCTCAACCCCACCTTTTGAATCTTCTCTCCTTTTTGCCATTTTTCAAATGTCGTGTAATCGGATTGGATTCTCGCCAACAAATCCGTGGCCATTTCATTTGTCGCCGAGAATCCAATCTGATTACACGACATTTGAAAAATGGCAAAAAGGAGGGAAAATTCAAAAGGTGGGGAAGTTAGTGTCAGAGTGGATCAAGGTCACGACAGCTCAAGTGGTAGAGCAGCGGTATCTAGCCGAAGACCGTGGGTTTGAATCCCTCTCATGCCATTGACTTTTTTATCTCAACTAAAAACATTAATTAATTGTAATATATTAATTGGTCAAGCGGACCACGAAATTAGGGAATTACTTGAAATTAAATTTATACAAAATTTACAATATTTTATGTTTAGGAGCGATGTCTGCAGAAAAATGAGTCTTGCCCTGAAGGCTATTACTACGAATATGTTGGGCCTCAAGAGCAGGATGCTCTTTTGAAACCACTCGCCGGTAAAGCGATCTGTAGAAAATGTCATCCGAGGTGTCGCAAGTGCACAGGTTACGGATTCCACGAGCAGGTCTGTCAAGTTTGCAGCAACTATAAACGGGGTGAACAGTGTGAGGATGAATGTCCAAAAGATCACTACGCCGATGAATCATCTCAACGGTGTGTTCCTTGCTCAATGGAATGCCGAGGTTGTACAGGGCCTACCAATGCACATTGCTTAAGATGCAGAAACTACAAAATATTCACTGTAATTTTTATTTTTTTATTATTTTTTTATATTTTATAATGTGATTTTTAAATGATTATTGATAATTACCAGGGAGAAATAAAACCAGATAACACCACAAGCTTCAACTGTACTGAATCATGCCCTCCAGAAGCTTCTCATCGCGTCTTTCCAGAAAACGGCGAAGAGCCTTATTGCTCTGTCGATCCTGTTGGACCGCATTTGTGAGTTGATTTGCTCGAAAGTTTTTCAAATAAACTTAGGACGAAATTTAAGAATTGCGGTTGTTACAGGGGAGAAGAACAAACGTCGGCGATGTACTACATGGCCAGTGGAATAATCGGTTCGTGCATCCTCATAGTCTTCTTGATTGCCTTGGTGTACCAGTGCCGGTTAAGAATAAAAGAGAAGAACGCCGCTAAAATGTCAATGATGCTACAAGGCTTGGAGCCGCTGCATCCAACAAATGTAAAGCCGAACCTTGCCAAACTTAGAATAGTAAAAGAGGCTGAAATGAGAAGAGGGTGCGTTCTTGGATACGGCGCATTTGGAACTGTTTATAGGGTGAGTTTTTTTTTTACATTAAATTTATATATTGAATTCATATTAGGAAAAATTCTATTTATTTTATTATTTACAGGGTGTCTGGGTTCCTGAAGGTGAAAATGTTAAAATACCCGTTGCCATTAAAGTGCTTAGAGAAAGAACTGGAGCGAATACAAGCAAGGAATTCTTGGATGAAGCTTACATAATGGCAAGTGTCGAACATCAGAACCTTCTTCAGTTATTAGGCGTCTGCATGACGTCCGAAATGATGCTAGTAACACAGCTAATGCCTCTCGGATGTCTTCTCGACTATGTCAAGAACAACAAAGAAAGAATAGGCTCGAAACCACTGTTGAACTGGTGTCACCAAATTGCTAGAGGTATATTTACGCTGTTTATTATGAAAAACTTCTGTTTTATAATCAATATTTATTGCAGGGATGGCGTATCTTGAAGAAAAACGGCTCGTCCATAGAGATCTCGCCGCTAGAAATGTACTCGTACAAACTGCTAGCTGTGTTAAAATTACAGACTTCGGTTTGGCAAAATTGTTGGACATCAACGAAGACGAGTATAAAGCAGAAGGTGGCAAAATGCCGATTAAGTGGTTAGCGCCGGAATGTATTACAATGAGAACATTCACACATAAAAGCGACGTTTGGGCTTTCGGTGAGTTAATTTGTTTTATTTTATGCAAATAAAAAAATCAATGAATTAAATTTCAGGCGTGACGATTTGGGAGTTATTGACATACGGTGCAAGACCTTATGAAAATGTACCTGCAAGAGAAGTTCTTGAACTTCTTGAAAAAGGGGAGCGATTACCACAACCCCACATTTGTACAATCGATGTATATATGTCTATGATTAAATGCTGGATGAAGGATCCAGAGAGTAGGCCGAGTTTCAAGGAACTGACCGACGAGTATGCAAAAATGGCCAGAGATCCTGGAAGATACTTGGTCATCCCTGGTGATAAGTTGATGCGACTTCCTTCTTACTCTTCTCAGGTAAGTACCAAACATAGAAATCCCCAAGTAGAAAATCACCTGGACCTAATTTCATCTATTCTACATCCAACCTTCCTCAGGAGACCATAGTATTTTTAACCATAGATGCATTCTACATACTAATAGAATCCTCTCTTATGGAAGTGTACTGGTTATTCTTAAAGCTCATAAACCTCCCAACCACATATCCTCCTACAGAACCATCAGTTTTCTTCCTTTTATGCCCAAAACATCAGATCCTTTTAAAAGTTAAATATCCTAGTTTCACATATTCCTTCCCACTTAATCAGCGTCCATCCCAATCATTCCATGATCCTGCAAGGTTTGAGAATCATTGACATTTCCTTTGCTCTAGAGGAGAAAAAATTGATTTGGTCCCCCCCCGGATACAGCCAAGGCTTTAGAGACTTAAACGCTTCCCACCCATCCTGTAATCATATTTAATTGAATTCTGCTTCAGAGGGAGTTGTGGATATCAAACCAATAAAAGCCGGCATCCCACAAGGGAGCATTCTTTGTCCCATCCTTTGTACCATTTATACCACTGACTTACCTATAAATCCGAATACCATTGGATGATACCACAGGTTTAACTTCTAACCTGAATTTTGCCCAAATCTGTAGGAAAATGCTTGAGACAAAAATCATGGGAAAAAGGGTGGCATTGTGTTGGGTGAAAGGGCATACAGGCTTATGGCAAAATGGAACGGTGGATGCATTTGCAAAGAAGGCTGCAACATCAGGTCCAACCCTTGACATTAAAATTCCTAAAGATGACAGGAAAAACTTTTTGGAAATGTTTTGTAGAAATCTGTGGCAAGACAATACAACGCATCAAATGTTGGCAATTATTATAGATCACTGTTCCCTGAGCTCAAGAAAAAACCATGGTTTTTGGAAGGCGATAGCCCAGAAGGAATGTCAAAGGAGTTCTATTCTAATATTTTTAGACTGAAGACAAATCATGGCCTATGGGGTAGCCATACCTTCTTGTAACAAGAAGAGAATCGGTTTGGCAATGTCTCCGAACTGTCCCACTTGCAATTGCCCTTCAAATCCCTTCCCAATTTTTGAATGTCCAGAATACGTAAATGAAAGAGTCAAACTGCTAAAAAATCTGAGCAAAGTTCCAAACATTTCCAAACCAATAAACTTAGAATCTGTACTAATTAAGCAACAATCCATCAGCTTTCAACGTAATCTATGGATTTCTAAAGTCGATAAACGTTTCTTTGGCGTCCTGGTCCTGGTCGGCCGATCTCACTCGACAGTAAAATGAAAATAGAAAACTTCATGGATAATATGCTAGCGTAAACCCCCCCCCCAAAAAAAAACCTGAATTTCCAAACCTCCAGGTCCAAGAACATCTTGAGTGCAAAGATGCTTCCACTAGGTCTGTATCAGCTGTTCCAATTTGAGAATCATTGACATTTCCTTTGCTCTAGAGGACAAAAAATTGATTGGGTGCATTCCTGGGTACAGCCAAGGCTTTAGAGACTTAAACGCTTCCCACCCATCCTGTAATCATATTTAATTGAAATCTTTAAAAAAAATCCTCACACTTAAGAGAACTTGGACAACTACAAACTCTTTTGATTGAAATCTGTCCATCAAAACTGAACTAAACTTAAACAAGACATAACTGCAACCGCTTTGGACATACAGAGTGGACTTGGGTGGTTCTGCCAAGCCTTATCCAGCAAATCCAAATTTTCTAATCAAAAGTTCTTTGATAAATTGTTAAAGGTCTCTATGTTCCACCCTGACCTTTTGATCCATCCTAACCATACTGCCCAAGCCTTATCTGCACTTTCTTCATCTTAAACTACATTGATCTTGAGATTTTCCTTATTTATTTAAACAAAAGTCTGATTTTTTTCTTCTTGTAATAGGAATGTGGGCATGATGATAAGGATCAAACATCAGCAGAGGGAGACGAACCAGACGGAGAAGAATATTTACAGCCTAAAAGCAGAATGGGAATCGTCAACCCATCTCCACAACCTGAGTCTCCTTCTCAAGTACAATCGAGTTGGGATACTCTTAAATTTTCACAACCCCTTCGATACTGCTCTGACCCAGTAGCTCTACGAGGTACGTTCGAACTTTTCTTATCCGCCAAAAATACAGAATTTTTATTAATTATATTGTTTAGATTGCGAGTTGGGGATCGGAGACGAATGTGCAGGAATTAGAAGGGAAGCGCATGTCGGTGATCTCAAACTGGACCTTCCCCTTGATGAGGATGATTATTTGATGCCGTCTCCTCAGCAAAGCCAGGCGACGACAGCTTACATGGATCTCATCGGTGACTCCAAGTTGCCGGGTATGTCTCTTTCAATACATTATTTTTGAAATTTCCGTTTAAGTTTGACTAACGGTTTTTTTTTTAACCAACAGCAGAACACTCCGATAGAAACGGAATGCTGAGCAAATATCCGGATTTCATTCCAGCACAGTCGGCAGTGGTCGATAACCCGGAGTACCATTTTGTAGTCGATCAGACGCTGGGCATCCCACACCCAGCACCTGTCCTTCCACACCAAAAGTCGTCGGAGGAAGAATCCGATCACGAATACTACAACGATTTTGACAGACTGAAAAGAGAACTTCAGCCACTGAGAAGAAACGAGACGACAGTGTAAAAAGTGCGACAAAGTACGTTCAAAAAAACGAATATACTTTATATTTTGAACGGTTGACTTCGTGTTGTACCAACCTGTAAAGCTAATTAATTTATATAAATATGTGTAAATACAGACTTGTTTTGAAAACAAGATTTTTTTCACATCCAGTAAAGTTAAACTCGTATAGAGAAAAAAATGTATATAACTATAGTTGGCCATATTCCAAACTTGCAATATGTTGAAAATGATGTACAAATTATTTAACACCTGTATTACAGTTTTGACTGATATTTTACATATGTAGTTTGTAAAGGAAATGCCATTTTTTTTATACAAAAATAAGTATTGTTTGTAATAATTTGTATATTTTTGGTGAATTCCGGCAATAGATGAAAGGTGTTGACAAAAATGTGCCATTTTACGTGTGGCTTTATTTTATTTTATTAATTTTTTTTTTTAAATATTTGTATTAGCACTAGTACAAGAATTAATACGAATTGGTACAATTGCCACTATTTCTTAATAAATATGTAAAATGTACTTATTATTATTTCTTTTTACTTATTAAAAGATATTTCGGTGAATTTATCAGAGGAGGATCATTTAAATTTTATTTTTCGTACAGACAAAAAAATTTTAAACATGAAATAATGTTCTCCTCGTTGTAATTCATCGATAACACAAAAAGACTGTGATAATGTAATATAATTTTTTTGCTCTTTTTAAGCCATTGGTCAAGACCAAGAATTCAGTGCCTGTTAACATGCAATATTAACTAGTTAGGAAGCGTTAAATACCCAAGACACTTCCGATGAAATGTTTTACTGTAATGAACTAGTAAAATGTAATGAGTTCTAATTGTAATTACTTTTTTTTTTAACATGAACGTTATGTAAATTATATATTTTTCAAACTTGTTTAATAAATTATGTTGTGTATTCTCTGTAAAAAAAATAAAAAATAAAATAAACGTTGTATTTAAATAAGATGGCCCATTTTATTAAGATCCGTATTTTTTTTTTTTTTTTTGCAAAGTAAGACTGTTGCAAAGCGCTGTTTTTGATCCCCTGCTTGCCACGACTTTCTTTTTATGGTTTTCTTTTTTGTAAGCTTTCTCCTTTTTACAGCCAGTATACAAATTTTATTTTATTTCCCATATAAAATATTGAAGGCACTCACAAATCAAGGAAAGCAACAGTCTGTCGAGACCTTCCACAAGGCGCTGTTGGACATTTTCCAGGTCATACCGCACAAAGCAGTTTAGTTCAGCAGCCCCCACTGCTCAAATTTTATTCAATTTATTTTTCTTACGATAAATAAAATAATTACGATATTTATTCTTGAAATTTGCATTTTGAATAGCTTGTTCGTTTCTGTTCATTTTAGTTTATCTGCTCTAAATTTGGTCGGACAAAAATCCAAAATTGCTGTTTATTGGCCAAGCACCACAACTGAGAATAAAACTAAAACCAGCAAAAAGACAATTTCATTGCACACAAGATTATGGAGGATCAGGAAGATCAAAAAGCTGGGTATTACCAATAAAAGAATTGCAACTCGGACAACCAGGTGGCGCTAAAGGCACCTCATCGGTAGTAAAGTCCAGAGCTTAGGGATTACTCAAAGATCTTGTCAGACAACAAACTTACCCTTGTTTGTTACTAGAACAGGGCAACAAAGATGCTGATAAATTGCCCAAGGAAAATTCGATGAGGATACTTATCAGCCCTGAATCTTTTTATGGCATTCCGAATCGCCAAAAACCCTCCATTACATAATGTATCAAGTCCTCTATTCAATGGGATTGTATTCGAGGAAAGAAGCATATGAAAAAGTTCATCAAAGGAACATCACCGAAACAGCACAGCTACTAAACATAGCATACAGACTCGGGGCAGCAGAAAAAAAGAAACATATCCCAGGAGAAGTAACAGTAAAATATGTCTTCAATTGGAAAGGACTGTGCAGAGAGTTTCTCTACTCCTGGGACTTAAATATTCAAACAGAAGGACTTAGGCAAAGCTTTGGGATCTGATAAAAAGTCTTAAGCTTAACAAAAAGCTCTAGATAATAATGAAGATTGCATCATAGGTATTCTGGACCAGTGTTGTTCAAAACTAAAAAAAAAACTGTATCTTGGTTAATTAAAAAGGATCCAATCTTTCAGAGAATGCCAGAAAAACAAGAGAAAAATTAATGTATAATTCACTAATTTCTTGGTCCGCTTGACCAATTAATATATTACAATTAATTAAGGTTGTTAGTTGAGATAAAAAGTCAATGACACGAGTGGGATTCGAACCCACGATCTTCGTCTAGATACGCCGCTGCTCTACCACTTGAGCTATCGTGACCTTGATCCACTAAAAACCTTAATTAATGTATAATGGAGGATAAGAAATTGCGTCATATCCTTTATAGTCTCCAGACTTGCCACCAACAGTTTACCACTTCCAAAAAAATTAAAAAATGATTTTCTGAAAAAAAATTCCTGTCAAACATCCTAATTTTTGAGTGTCGTGAACAGAGGTCAAACCAATACTTTTTTCATATTTTGATAAATTAAAAATCCATAGCCTATGCCATTTGAACCCAGAATCGCATGTTAAGTGTGGTAAACTCATTCACCACATCCCACAATATTAAATTTAAAATTAATTAAGGTTTTCAGTTGAGATAAAAAAGTCAATGGCATGAGCGGGATTTGAACCCACGATCTTCGGCTAGATACGCCGCTGCTCTACCACTTGAGCTATCGTGACCTCGATCCACTCGGACACTAACTTCCCGGAGAACTTTCCAGCAGACCACGAAACTAGTGAATTTAATAAGCTTAAAATGAAGCATACTTCACTAAAGCTCTCCGTGGCCATTTCATTTGTCGCCGAGAATCAAATTGATTACACGACATTTGAAAAATGGCAAAAAGGAGGGAAAATTCGAAAGGTGGGGTTGAGGTGGGAAGTTAGTATCCGAGTGGATCGAGGTCACGATAGCTCAAGTGGTAGAGCAGCGGCGTATCAAGCCAAAGATCGTGGGTTCTCATCCCGCTCGTGCCATTGACTTTTTATCTCAACTGAAAACCTTAATTAATTGTAAAATATTAATTGGCCAAGCAGACCACGAAACTAGTTAATTTAATAAAATTAAATTTTAAACAAAAACCTTACCACATTATACTTCCGAGCTAGGTCGTGTATTCATTTTTCTAAAATTGTTTTAAATAATTTTGATATTACTTTTTTCTTTTTTAAATACACAAAGTTAACATTGAAAAAAGGAATTTTTGAATAACAACAACAAAATTATATTCTATTCCAATAATTATACTTTTATATACTTCATTATAAACAAATTTTTCTTTTGTATGTCTTAAAAATATATTTAATGACTAGGTTAATCCCTTAGGTTTGCTGATGAAAAAATAGGACAGAATAACGCAGTAAAAATAAATTATTGTGTTTTTTTTTATGCTAGGAAATGATATTCAATATACAAGTCCTTCCTTTCATGTTTAAGTTGTTTAATATATATTACCAAAAAAAAACAAGTGCATTACCTTATGCATGAATAAGCAAAACACTTGTTTCGACAATTTTTGTTAAAATTCAATACAACCTCCTTGGAGCTCTCTCTGAAAAAAATAAGAATTTACTTAGAGTTTAATTTCTAAATTTAATATCTCAAAAATTTACTTGTTTCGCTAGAGTCGCTTTCCCACATTTTATGGCCGTAAGAAGAACTAGGGACGACCGAAGAACTAGAACGAGACAAATTCACCCTCAATTTTGGTTCGTAGCGTATTGAATAGTCTGGAACAGGTATAGGTGGTTTTGGCACTCCTTTAATTGTTTTGAGTTCGTGCTTTTTTGTGCTAAGTTCCTGTGGATTTATGTACGACCATGGTAACTGATTGTTTAGTGCCCCGTTGCCTGTGTTTTCATGATGTCTAAAAAAAAATAAACTAATCACTTTCAATTAAAAAGGATGATTGTTAGATAAGTTAGTGTTTTCTGTATTTATACAATACAATTTAGTTATTTTTATTTTGGTTAATAGTGCTTCAAAAGTAGTTGTCGAACAACCTAAGTTGCCAAGTTGCCACTATACAATTTTTTTTTTTTTTCAAATTAATCTCAAACAAAATTACAAGTATTATGCCAAATTTCAAACCCTGAACTGGCTGTGGCAAACACGAGTCAAACACCCTAACCACTCAGCCACCACAAATCCCAAAATAGGCAAGTCTTCCGAAAATGAGGAATTTTTCCAAATATAGCCTTAAAAACGTAAACCATTAGCTATCTACTTAATTTTGGAAAGTGGGGGAGGGTACATTTCTTGAAAAAGTATAATTTTAGTACAAAACCTGAATTTTCCCCTAAAAACAAAATTAGTTTGGCAAAATTAAAACTGAAATTAAAATTTTAAAAACTTTCTCATAAAAAACATACTTTTGAGTTCCAAATTATTAAAATTTGAACTTGATTTTAATTTTTTAGAATAGAATAGCTATTATTAACTTATAATTTGATCGTTACTGATCATTTTTGGTGCCTATGCTCGCTAGTTTGGTCTGACAAGCATTTTGGCATTTTACCTTCTTGGTAGACCACAGACCAAAATTGCAATGATAAGTGGATGAAAACATGATCGGTAACGACCAAACTTGCTCACCCTGCAGACCTCATGGACAAATTTGAGAATATTTTAAAATTCAAAATAAGTATGCAAAATTGTAATTTAATTATACATTTCAGAGAAATTTTTATGTTTTCTTTAAATTGTTTTGTTCTAAATCAACTCAAAGTACAATTCACTAGTTTCGTGGTCCGCTTGACCAATTAATATCTTACAATTAATTAAGGTTTTCAGTTGAGATAAAAAGTCAATGGCATGAGCGGGATTCGAAAAATCCATTGAAAAATGGCAAAAAGGAGGGAACATTCAAAAGGTGTGGTTGAGATGGGAAGTTGGTGTCCGAGTGCATCGAAGTCACGATAGCTCAAGTAGTAGAGCAGCGGCGTATCAAGCCGAAGATCGTGGGTTCGAATCCCGCTCGAATTGACTTTTTTATCTCAACTGAAAACCTTAATTAATTCAAAATACAAAAGACACTGAGCGATTTTATGCTGAAGTTTGTAAGTAATGAACCTGTAGGTCATTACCAATCATCCTAGTCAGAGGGAAATGCTTCCATCTTTATTTCATGATTGGTATTCACAAATTCAAGATTGTCAGTTCCCGTCCAACATCCAAAATTGAGATCAAAGCCAGCAACACCACATGAGATTGCATAATACCGAAATGTTTTTGACAGAGAAAAATGTGGAAAAAAATACCGGGATTATAAGAGACAATAAGCGACATTGAATATCTACAATTTGGTAGTTTCCAATAATTTTGGATTGCCTATCATCACTATTTGGTCGGGTACATTTTAGCTTTTTGCTATCATTGGACCACAATTTTTTACACTGTGAGGTCTGCTAGTGTTGAACCGGAAGTTTACTCTTTCCCGAACAACCTAGTAGTCTTAACCTCACTGGTATGTAAGAATCACACTTTTTCATCTTCATTTCACAGTTGGTGTAAGAACTGACAAAAGCAACACTGCAGATGGCGAAAAGTTTAAATGACACAGACAAAAAGAGTACGGATAGGTAGACCAAAAATTATTGGTAACAATCAAACTACATGTTCATCACCTTCACCACCCTGAAGATCACACAGACAAATTTTACAATATCGTGAAATTCAGAAACTAAATTTCAATTCTATACTGTGTTTACAGAATATTTATTTGTATATGTCTGTTTTCAGTTTCAGTTCTAAATGATTTCAGCGATTTCTGGTTGTGGTCTGAAAGTGATGAACCTGTAGTTTGGTTGGAACCAATCACCCTGATCTGGCAGTAATTCACAAAAAACCAAAATCAAAGGAAAAACCAGCAACATGCACCAAATATGTTTCTTAAAACAAGTAATTCATTTTGGCCCGCCTATCTCTGTTTTTGTCATTTCAGTCAATTTAAGCTTTTTGCTATCATCAAGCTTTTTACTGTAAAGGTGATTAGCTTAGTTTGAATTGACGAAACTATCATGGTAGATGGTGAAAAGTTAAAATTTACCTGACTGACTAAAAGAATAAGAATAGTCAGATCAAAAATGACCAAACTTCAGGTTCATCACCGCGAAGACCACATGAAGAAATTTCACAGTATTATGAACTTCAAAAACTAACTACCTAACTTGATACTCTAGTTATGTATTTCAGAGTATTTGCATTTTCTGTAAATCACCTGAATGGCCATTCCATGGCCATGGTAACAACCAAACTACAGGTTCATCATCCTGAAGATCACATGGAGATTACAATATCATGAACTTCAAAAACTAAATATTCAATTCTGTACTGTATTTAGAGAATATTTATTTGTGTATATCTGTTTTCTGTAAATTGTTCTAAATGATTTCACAGATTCCTGGTTGTGGTCTGCAAATGTTGAACCTGCAGTTTCGTCGTTCCCGATCACCCTAATGTTGTGGTGTTAATTCCCAAATATAAGATCAAAGAAAAAATCCAAAAAAATGCCAAAATGCCTTTCTTAGACTAAACATTACCAATAATTTTGGCCTTCTTATCCTCGCAGAGTTCAGTTGGGCGCATTTCAACCTTTTCTATCATCCAAGATTGTTTTGAAATGAAGAAACCAAGACTGAACATGGGGAAAGCTAAAATGTGTCTGACAAATCAAAACGATCAGAAACAAACAATGTGATGAACCTGTTGTTTGGCCATTTTAAATTATTACTAATACATAAGTTATAAATGCATGTAGAAGTACATGTGTGTATATTTATAAACCTTGAAAATTTCAAATTTATTGATTTTATATTAGAAAATAAGGTATTTTCAGGATACAGGCTTGTTCAGATCAAATGTTATGTTGGCGTCAGCCATCTTATTTTAGAAATATGCTTTGTTTTGGATTAGAGTAATCTCTAATCCAACTCCCATGCTCCTTACAGTCCCAGTCCTGCTCTACTCCTAAGATAAAAAGTGTCCTTACACCTCTCTTTAATCTCATTTGTTTCTCTCCTTTATTAATTAAAAAAAGATTTAAAATCACGCGACTCTCCGAAAACCCTCTGTGCTTCTACATCGCCCTCTTCCACCTGAAATCATCTGATATTAAGCGACGAGGCCAGGGGAATCGGGCCCGATCTCCCTATGTTTCGTGCAGCTGTCATCTTAAGGAAGGTGGTAAATCTCTTATAAATCTTTCCTGTTGTTTATTTTAATTTAGAATTTTTCATAAATTTATTATATTAACTTTTCATTACCATTTTTTTGTCATTATTATTTTTTCATTCTTTTCACGGCATTGGCCGTAACATTGGTCCTCCGGGCCGGATGAACCAGCGACCTATGGATACAGTCCTTTTCTTTCTTTCCATGGCATTGGCTGTAACATTGGTCCTCCGGGTCGGATGAACCAGCGACCTATGGATACAGTCCTTTTCTTTCCACAGCATTGACCGTAACAGTTAAGTTAGACTAAGTTGTATTGTATATTTTTTAAAATTATATTTGTGTTTTATAACAGTTCAGGGGATTGCAATGACCAAGTGGTTAGGGCATCCAACTCACCACAGTAGCAATATTTTAATTGATAATAATATGAAAATTTGTAAACTCGTTTGGCCCCTTGTCTGTGACAATGTTGGACATTAAGCAACGATAAGAATTATTTTACTTAGTTTTACTTATAACAGTCAGGAAAAATGTTTCTACTAGTTCATGGTACATGTTAATCTTATACAATTTGATGGTTCAGTTAATTAATATTATGAATAAGAGTGTTAGATGGACATAATAAATCTCTATTTCTCTGGGCTTGGTAGTAGAATAATAAAAACCTTCTAAAATTATCAATAAATCACAACTGTCATTATCTATAAAATAAATTACCCTCTTCTGTAAATAGGAGAGTTCTGGGGAAGCGCATCCGTAGTGGGCCTTCCGTACACATCGTAAACATTGTTTGCGGATTGAGTTCGTCTTAAAGAAGGCTCCCTCATCATTGGGGGTGGCGGGATTTCTGAGATCGGAGACTGAGGAGAATCGGGCTGTTCAGCGTTTCTCAAGAAAATCGGGCTCGGCGTCAGTTTCCTCTGATCCACTCTTGGGAGGCCGGATAGGATGACGTTGCTTTCTGAAGGGTTGAACCACCTCGCTCCCACTGGATCTATCGGGCTCACCCTGGTCCCTGACTGGATAAAATTATAACTTTTTTTTAACGTTTAATAAAATATAACATACCTCGATGAATTCAGAGGTCGGAGAGACTTTTGAAACGGAATGAGCAGCCTGAATTACGATGCCGAGTAGAATCAAGTTAATTAACCAAAATATGATCCCTCTCGAGAACAACAAAGCCATTATTATTGCTGGTACTACAGTTATGCCATTTGCACCAGGCACTTTTTCGGTTTGATTTATGAATTTCTCATAATCAGAAACTGTCTGTAAAATATAAAATATGTTTCTTTAATAAATACACAAAATATTTTTTGTATATAATAAAACATGCGAGTTGAAGCTTGATCATCATCTGACAGAAACTTTCAACAATCATGACTGACTGTCTGTATGAATGATGATCAATGATGATTTTTCTCAATTTACCATAGTCTGCTTAATGTCTATTGTGTAGATTATAAAAGCGACAAGATCGATTATTTGTATAGTAGCGGCATTGATTATCCAAGGATAATAAAGGCATATTCCCATCTTTCCCTTGATCTTATTCATAGCGGCAACTGTAAAAAAATATTTATTCGATTCTTAGAAAATGCATTAAATTTTGTCAACTATGTGTGGAAACAGGATTAAAAGGAATCGAGACTGGTTTGTTTACCTATTTACCTATAAGTAACACTGATGTTGGAATCCATAGTGAACTTACTACACCATAGATCAACATCCAGTAGTAGGTTCTTATGGCCGATGGTGCTTCGACTAAAGGCAATCCCGGTGGAGCCCTGCATGATCCTGCAAATAACAAATACATCCGAACTCATCCAAAAATACTTTAAGACATTTTTATTTCATTTAATAAAAACGGTATAAAAATTTGATATATTGACAAAATTTTAACAAATAAATGTTTGTCGCCCAGAATTTCCCCAAGGCTAACTTATTTGCATGTATTACTATGCATGGGCATGCTGTTTTTAAATTATCTCTTGGCCTTGCAGTCTGTCACACTATTTTCAGAATCGGATTTTACATAACAAACAAAAAATGTGTAAACACCAAAATAAGAATTTGAATATTCACACCATTCATGGCATAATTAACTATAAATGATTGAATAATTATTATAAACTTGAAAACTTTAATTTTGGAAATTGTAAACTGCTGTCTTGGCCCATGGATGTGATCAACTCGTGGCACAGGAAAGAAGTTGTAACTCTACTGAACAAAACTAAATAACATTACAGCAGAACATTTTGCCTGTCATTAAATTTTAAATTAAGCAATCCCAATAAATAAAATCTACTTGAACAAGTTAAAAAAAACTTGCCTGTTGATCTATAAGGCAAAAGTTTGGTTTGGTGAAATTTTAAAATCTCCCCTTTCACTCTCAAACTCTCTCACCCTCTCTTATCTCTTATCTCCCTCTCTCCCCGCACCCCTTCTCTCTCACCCAGTTTCTCTACTGTTTTCTGTCTTTTCCTTTCTCATTCTCCCTTTCACACTCACCCTCTCTCATTTTCTCTTTTTCTCTCTCCATCTCTCACTCTGTCCTTCTACTTGCTCACTTTCTATTTCCACATAATCTCACTTGGTTCTCTCTCCCCCCTCTCTCTCAATCCCTAGCATTCTCTCTAGCACACATTCTCTCTCTGATTCTCTATTCTATCTCTCTCTCTCTCTCTCTCTCTCTCTCTCTCATTCCATATCATTCTCTCTACTTCCCTTTCTCAATCTCCCTTTCACTCTGTCAATCCCTATCATTCTCTCTTGCACACATTCTCTCTCTCTCTGATTCTCTCTCTATCTCTCTCTCTCTCTCATTCTCTCTCTCTCTCATTCCATATCATTCTCTCTACTTCCCTTTCTCACTCTCCCTTTCACTCTGTCAATCCCTATCATTCTCTCTTGCACACATTCTCTCTCTCTCTGATTCTCTCTCTCTCTATCTCTCTATCTCTCTCTCTCTCTCTGATTCTCTCTCTGATTCTCTCTCTTTCTCTCTCTCTCTCCTTTATTTCCCTTTTTCTCTCTCCTTTTCTCACACATTATCTCTCTCTCACACACACACACACGCTCTCCTTTCATTCTTTCTTTCTCTTTCACCCTCTCACACTCTGTCTTTCTACTTGCTGACTTTCTCCCTCCACATTCATCTCTCTAGGCTCTCCCTCTCTCTCTCTCACTTTCCCTCTCTCTCTCTATCTCTCTCTCTCTCTCTCTCTCTCTCCATCTATAAAAAAAACTAATAAAATTAAACTGTAAAAAATTAATACATTTAAAGTAAAGCTCAAAAATAGTTACATTACTTCAAATGAGATAAGTGAAATATTTGTGCTTATTTTACTTGCAATTAGTCTTGTTCATAAGTTTTTTTGCAGCATTCTCTTTATTTAATTTTAATTGTAATTTTTCTTTTTTATATATATATTTTTAATTAATGTTCGTTTGTTTTTTATTATGTTTTAGTACACGTTCCGATTGTAAATAATGATGTTAGTTATTACAGTGTAATGTTGAAATGTTAATGGATAATTTTTATTGCTATGTAAAGCAGATTTTTTAATGTTATAACGTCCAAGAGACCTAATTTTGCGCGGATAAATAAAACTCTATCAATCAATGACTCAATCTCTCTCTCTCTCTCTCTCTCTCTCTCTCTCTCACACACACACACACACACACACACAAACACACACTTTTAAACTTACCTTTGAAGTACGATAGGTAGAGGAGGCGAGAAGTCGTGATTCTTTCCTCAAGGCGGAACGGGAAATCCACAACGCACCCGTAAATAGCGCAGGAATAGATCGCCAGGAGGGCCCAAACAATCCCTTGAATCTAGATGCAAAAGGAAAAGAAAAAGCGTGTCAAAAAAATTAAAACAAAAAAACCCGTCGACTTGATAAGAAACTCGAGATAAGGCTGAAGAGCCTTTTTTCTCCAACATAATAGTGTCATTTGGCAAACAACACTATTATAAATGTTTATTTATCGAGAGATGTGATATGTTTTGAAATAGCGGACTTTCAGAAAGATTGACCTTTTTGTTCATTTATCTGAATAATTTTTTTAAGTAGAATATAGTATATAATAATTTTAAGGTATGATTCTGTTTATGTTTTCGCGATTATGCGAGACTTTTCTTTTCTTAGCTTTATTTCTTTCTTAAATGAAAATATTTTATGAAGCGACGCAATGGATGCATTTTGCATTAATCTGTTTTTCTGTTTTTGTTTTTTAAAAGATACAATTCGATTGGAAAATACAAAGAAATCAGATTTTGTTAATGATTTTTAACAGCAGATTTTGCTTAAGATATTTTGTTATTTCCTTAAAGATCAAGGTGTTATATAATTAAATAATATTGAATGTTGTGTTTATATTTCTTTAACCGATACGAAATGCAGTTTGGTTGGTTTATTTTTAAGAGGAATTTTTTTTTAGAAATATTATTTCGGATAGAGAAAAGGACAAATGATGATTTACCAGGGCGTATATCCCTGCACAAATGCTCGCAGTCCTATGGCTCTCCTTCATGGTGTCATCACTTCATCACTGCAACAACACTTCTGCCCCTTTTCTGTTTTTATCTCCAGATAAGATATACAAGTACACCTGTAATTAATGAATCGGCTGAACAGGGATTTGTCGGCGCCTTCGAAACGGACGAAATCCGTCCCGAAGCCACGTGCCACGCCCACGGCGGATATTCCGCAGCGATGATTAAATTAAAAATTAATAAAAAAATTAATAAAAACACCGGCGGAGATAATATCGGGAGATTATCCCAATGTGATTTTCACCCGGGTGTCGACTGACGGCCCTTTGATCCGCCAAGTGGGGATTGGCCTGATTTTCATAATTTGACGTTTCAAAATTTTTTTTTAAACTTTAGGACGGTTTTGGGCGGTGACTGGTCTCTACTCGAAGATAGCGTGAATCGGGTTAGCCGTATCAAATGGAACTAATTTTTATTGTTCGATAATACATTTATGAATTACAGGCCACGATAAGTTGATGATGCACAGATGATGCCCTCATTACCATCAGACAAATAATAAATAATTTAATTACAAGTTAATGCACTAAAGCGACTGCGTCTATGTTTGTCAAGACTTTTGTCTTTTGACTAACTTTAACCTAACTTCGCAGTTGTTGAGGCTTGAAGCACTGGACAAGAAGGAAACCACCAGACAGGACACCGCGATCTTCAGAAGACCCCCCTCAATGCTAAGGCTTTGCGCGTACAAATCAGATGCCCTCATTACCATCAGACAAAAAAATAATAAATTCTCTCTATAATTTAATCACAAGTTAATGCACTAAAGCGACTGCGTCTATGTTTGTCAAGACTTTTGTCTTTTGACTAACTTTAACCTAACTTCGCAGTTGTTGAGGCTTGAAGCACTGGACAAGAAGGAAACCACCAGACAGGACACCGCGATCTTCAGAAGACCCCCCTCAATGCTAAGGCTTTGCGCGTACAAATCAGATGCCCTCATTACCATCAGACAAAAAAATAATAAATTCTCTCTATAATTTAATCACAAGTTAATGCACTAAAGCAACTGCGTCTTTGTTACTCAACTTTTGGATTAACTTACGTTAGCCAACTTTAATCTAACTTCGCAGTTGTTTCTGCTAAAGATTAGCGGCTTTAACGACCGCCCTTGGATTTTTTTTACCAAATTAACCGCAGGATGTAAATATATAAAGAATTAAAAACACATTATAAAATTCTAAGTTTATGAAATCGACCATCTAAAGAGCCATCCACCATGTCGAAACCGCCAGCTGGCAGAAGTTGATCTGCCATTTATTTTTTAACTATAATCCCCTTCCTGTATGTTCAGATGTGAATAAAAAGCATTAAATGATGTGGAGAAATCCACATGCCCCAGAGCCTCGGAGGCTTGAAGCACACCAGGAAACCACCAGACAGGACACCCCGATTTTCCGAAAACCCCCGCTTCAATGCTGAGGCTTTGCGCGTACAAATCAGATGCCCTCATTACCATCAGACAAAAAAATAATAAATTATCTATATAATTTAATCACAAGTTAATGTACTAAAGCAACTGCGTCTTTGTTAGCCAACTTTTGGACTAACTTATGTTAGCCAACTTTAATCTAACTTCGCAGTTGTTTCTGCTTAAGATTAGCGGGTTTAACGGTTGTCCTTGGCTTTTTTTTACATTAGCAACAGATAACCATACATTTATAAACAACTAAAAATACATACAAAATTCTAAGTTTATGTAATCGACCAGGCGTTCAAAGAGCCGCTTACCCTGCCGAAACCAACCAGCAGAGGAAGTTAGCCTGCTATTTATTATAAAAAAAAGAAAAAAAAATTAGTTGTGTGAGGGCGAAATATATATTTATAGATTTGAAAAGAATGCAAATACACTTTAAAAAAACGAAAAACTTGTGTTGTGCTTTTGAAAACCCAAATGCATTTTGGAAATGGGTCATCTCTCGTGAAAAATTAATTTTTTGTGCACCATAACGAGTTAAACCTGTCCAAAACAACGTTTTATATCCCACGAGACCCTTTTCTAATAGAAAAAGAAAGATTGGTAACTATTCTAAAAAATTTAATACTTTTTTCTCCTGTAAAATTTGAAAAGTTGGAGATGGCCCCTTTACAAAATGAGTCGTCTCTCTCGTGAAAAATTAATTTTTTGTGCACCAGAACTTGTCAAAACTGTCCAAAACGACGTTTTAAATCCCACAAGGCCTTTTTTTATAGGAAAAAAGATTGGTAATAATTCTAAAAAATGTAATACGTTTTTGGTTTCTCCAGTAAAATTTGAAAAGTTGGAGATGGCCCCTTTTCAAAATGGGTCTTCTCTCTCGTGAAAAATTAATTTTTCTGTTTACCAGAACGAGTTAAAACTGTCCAAAACGACGTTTTAAATCCCACAAGGCCTTTTTTTATAGAAAAAAAAAGATTGGTAACAATTCTAAAAAATTTAATACGTTTTTTGTTTCTCCTGTAAAATTTGAAAAGTTGGAGATGGCTCCTTTTCAAAATGAGTCGTCTCTCTCGTGAAAAATTAATTTTTCTGTTTACCAGAACGAGTTAAAACTGTCCAAAACAACGATTTATATCCCACAAGGCCTTTTTTTTAATAGAAAAAAAGATTGGTAACAATTCTTAACAATTTAGTACGTTTTTTGTTTCTCCTGTAAAATTTGAAAAGTTAGAGATGGCCCCTTTTCAAAATGGGTCGTCTCTCTCGTGAAAAATTAATTTTTTGTGCACCAGAACTTGTCAAATCTGTCCAGAACACCGATTTATACCACACAAGGCCTTTTTTTTAATAGAAAAAAAAAAGATTGGTAACAATTCTAAAAAATTTAATACGTTTTTTGTTTCTCGTGTAAAATTTGAAAAGTTGGAGATGCCCCCTTTTCAAAATGGGTTGTCTCTCTCGTGAAAAATTAATTTTTTGTGCACCAGAACTTGTCAAAACTGTCCAAAACAACGATTTATATCCCACAAGCCTTTTTTGATAGAAAAAAAAATTGGTAACAATTCTAAAAAATTTAATACGTTTTTTGTTTCTCCTGTAAAATTTGAAAAGTTGGAGATGGCCCCTTTTTAACATGGCCGATTCAGCTATGTCGGGGGTGCACGAAGGAAACGTTGAATTGAACGTGGTCACCGGGCAGCGTGGGTGTTTGCAACTTATTAATATTCATTACATTATTAATTATTCTTTGTACGTAAAGTCTTAGTTGTAATGAAAAAGTTAGCGTCACGAGCGGGATTCGAACCCGCGACCTTCGGCTGGTAGATGCTACATAATGTTCTATAATTCATGATTTGTTTTGACTGATGTGCTTTGATAACATTACACCTACATGACTTATGACTCCAACTTCTTCCTCATGCTATCGGCTCATTTTACATACTTTGGTTAATCCCAAGTGCTCAATTTGGCACCGCCCTCCAGAGCGAATTGAAACCTGGCCATCTGAGCTGTGGTGTAAGAAGAGGTTTACGAATCGGTAGTCGGGCCATGGTACATGAACCGGAAATTTTCTACTGTAGTAGTTTTGCTCAAAAAAGACGAACTTCGGCCTGAAAGAACGATTTGCTGAAGGTTAGACACGCCGTACCCTTTACGATCGGCCATTTTGTAAAATCAAGCCCAGGTTCCAAATGTTTCTTCAAATTACAATTTTTTGCGGAAGTCCTTAACTCCGGCGTGTGTTTATTCTATGGAGAAAAATTGGAGAATGTAAAAACACCTTAATTCCATGTAAATTTAACCTGACTGAAGATTCATACCGCCCGTTTTGTCATGGAAAGCGCCTGATGTCCGAATTCCGGCGTTGCCGAAACAAAATATGGCTTGGAAAAAAATATGGCAATCCTTTTCAATTTATTAATATCTATTTGATAAGTAATTAATTGAAATTGTGTAAAATAATTGTTTGTCTGGCATTACAAGTTGTTTATGGAGTGGGTGGTAAATAAGCAGTCTGTCTGTCTATTTTCAGATCATAGGCATAAAAAAAAATAAAGCAGTATGTCCATTGTCCAGTAACTGATGTGGGCGAAAAATTGATAGACAACCATATAAGAAATTAAAATAGTGTGTACAGACAATGACCACCAAACCAGAAATGACTATAACGATTACAGCTTTCGTGTAAAAGAGTACTGCTGATGGATGGCTCTCAGGATCTGACTCATCTTTACTTGACTAAGAATAGGCATTGTCAGGTTGACATACACTTACTTTCTGGCCAAAGTATCCGGCATGTAGAGAAAATTGCTTGATATGACCCACTTACTTAAGAGGTGAAATTCATTGGCTCTATTTACAGTGCATAGGAATGCCATCCAATATGAGAATTGAGTATGAGCATGGCAGCGAGTATTTGGGTACCCTGTTCTGATTCTTGGAGGGTTTTTTTGTTTGTTTTTTTAAACAAGGGTATTTCAACTATGAGGTTATATGAATGTGATGCAGGTATTTGAAAAAAAGCCTATTTACATGTCGGTTTGAATGCAAGACTGTTGGATTCGAACCCACGACCTTTATCATACATCATCAAAACATTACTACAACTGATTTGGACATACGGTCTAGAACTGTGGGAAACTGCTAAACCTTCCAACATCTAATATTTCCGATCCTTTCATCACCCAATCCCTCCAATTCAACTCCTCACATCACACTCGCAACACCCACTCATCCCCAATTGACCTTATCCTTCCGCAACATACAACCTTAAACTCTGGAACCCCCCTTTCTGTTCATCACACCGCCTCCTTTTCCTCCTTCAAATCACCACGTCTCCCTCCAAACAGAGACTTTAAGTTAATATTTAATATTTTTGTTTAATATTCTTGTTATTGTTTCATATGGCTTGCCTTACTTGTATTTGTGCCAAGAATTAATTTCATTTTATTTTTAATTTCATAGAAGAAGGAACTGCCTTTATTTACTTCATGTCTATTATTCTTAGGGGACAGCAGTCCCAAAATAAAGTTATTTTTCTTCTTCTTCTTTCAGTTGAAAATTATCCATTTCTCCATATTATGTCTCCAATACTACCCTCCACAATGACTTGAAAATCCCATTTATCTAAAAATTAATTCTCCACAAATTTACCAAGTTCCACAATGATCTCTCCCATCACGCCTAAGCCTTTCATTTTATTTTTAATTTCATATTAGAAGGAACTGCCTTTATTTTTTACTATTATTCTTAGGGGACACCAGTCCCAAAATAAAGTTATTTTTCTTCTTCTTTCAGTTGAAAATTCTCCATTTCTCTGTATTATGTCTCCAATACTACCCTCCACAATGACTTGAAAATCCCATTTATCTAAAAATTAATTCTCCACAAATTTACCAAGTTCCACAATAATCTCTCCCATCACGCCTAAGCCTTGTTCGTAAAAGCTCATCCCTAAAATCCCACAAGTTGTCACAAATTCCTGGTCTTCCGACCTTTTTTCTAAGGAGTAGGCGGTGAAGTTTATTTAGTGAAGTGATGTAGTAGAATACTAGTTTACCACTCTCTTGTGTAAATATAAAAAAAAGTAAGTTAGAGGCATCAGCGAAAAATAAATATGGTTTGGGACTTTCTTACCCCATAACAGGCTTATAAAGCAATAAAAATCCAGGGAAACAAGACTACTTCCTCCACCTTAAAAACAAGACGTGCTGCTAGAGGAAAATCCATGCACGTACGTGATAAATTTATCCATACTACCTGCTAATCATAATGTTTGACCGATTGTCAAAAGAGCAAATCGAGGTAACTTTTCCTCCAGCTGAGAAGAAATCTTCTCAACATTGATGCCAGATTGCAATAGGCACTTTATGCACCAAACCAAAAGGACAGATTTTGATTGTGTCAATAGTTAAAGGAATTAAATTCACTAATTTCGTGGTCCGCTTGACCCATTGAAAAATGGCAAAAAGGAGGGAAAATTCAAAAAGATGGGGTTGAGATGGGAAGTTAGTGTCCGAGTGGATCGAGGTCACGATAGCTCAAGTGGTAGAGCAGGGGCGTATCTACCCGAAGATCGTGGGTTCGAATCCCGCTCGTGCCATTGACTTTTTTATCTCAACTAAAAACCTTAATTAATTGTAAGTTAAAGGAATGTCGATTTGGTGCTTGAGGTAGTTAAAATTCAAAAAAAAAAAATTATAAAACAAACTTCAAGTCAAATGATATATTTTAGAATCCCAAAACCATTTTTTTAAATTATTTACATTAATATATTACATTTTAATCTTCGTATAACAATGTATTTTTTCACATCCTGTAAAACGATATTTCTTATGGGAAGAGGGTTTGCAGTGGGTAGTAGTGCTGTTCAGGGATGTGTCTTGTTGTTGTGGTTGTTGTCCTAGCCGTTGTTCCTACCTCCTGATGTTGCTCAGCTTCAGTTTTCAGTAGAGTTTTTTGACCCTCAGTCGTCACTTGGGTCGCGGTAAGCCCCAGATCTCTCCTTGTTTTGGTCTGCTGATGGTCGTGCTTGTGTTCTGACCTGATATGAACAAAAAGATTTTTTTTTAATCGCAATATTTCGAAATTAAATTGTTTAAAATAAACAAATTTAAAAAAAGATCGTTTTAAAAATTTCTTAAAGTCATTATTTTTAAACTGTTGTGTAGCATGCGCCATGCATTAATAGTGATTAAATTCAGTATTTGACAAATCTGAATTCTCACTTTTGGCCTCGTCGACATGCTTTTGTCATCATCTTGGTATTCGGATTCAGCAGAATCACTTTCTTCATTGCTTACATTACTTTCATCCTGGTGACTTTTACTAAACATTAATTAGTAACTAGTTTTATAATTTTAAAATATTGCAAGTAGCCCACCTTTCATTGCTTTGAGACTGTTCCGCGCTCTCAGTTGGCGCTCCAGTTGCTGACAACAAGACAGCACCAAGCACCACACAAAATACCTTAAATGAAATATAGATTTATTTACATAAACAGAAATAAATGTGAAAAAATTTCAAAATGAACAGAAGTGATTGATTAGCTAATTTAAAGATTAAGTTTTTTCTTACTTAATTTAAAACAATGTAATTTTATTTTAGAAAATATTTGCATTGATCTTTGCTCAGTGGAATTAAAAGATTATTTTAATTTTTTTACGTACCAAAGTTTTCAGACACATCCTTTTCATAATTTCACTGCTGACTGAGCTTTGACTTCCCACCTGTGCCTACCTATTTGTAGGTGGTTCAGACCCCTCGTCTAATTTCATCCTGTGAATTAGTATGCCCTTGTGTATCAATTTTCACTCCTGTTTAAAACTCTAAAGCAAACTAAAGTGATTCATTATGCCGTTCGACCCCCAGGGAGATGCAGTCTTCTAAACGCAAAACGACGATAACAAGAATAAACAAAGGCTTTGCATAACGTGTTACAAGTGAAAATAAACTGACTTCTTTCAAATATTCATTCATGCAAATATAATAAAGCGGCTCAAATTAAAAAAAAATTTATTAAATACAGTTACACTTAGTCCAATAAAATACAGTATTTCTAAATCTTCAAAATATTCCCCAATGCACTCCTTTCTTTGCCAAGATTAGATCTCTTCTTGTTATAAGCCCTACAGCCTAAAATGTTTAATTTAATTTTTTTATAATAATCACTTTTCTTTTAGACAATTTCATGAAATTAACTTTATACCTGCATGTTTTCATCTACTACAATTAGCGTATGCAAAGCCAAGGCTGTAAAAATGGAGCAAGCTCTCGTCAAAGACGCAGTCTATAAAAATGACAAACAAAAAGTCAAAAATCAATGTTTTATTCAAATCTAACAGTTGACGTACTCTGTAAATTGTAAATGGAGTCGGATTTAAATACTCCTCCAAATTGAACTGAGTCGACATAGGTACGGTGATTTCTATAGGCTGAAGAAATAAAAAAATATATGTTAATAATAATAAAGAAATAACGAAAAACAAATCAATATTGCTGTTCCACTCAGGTCATTTATATCTGACAAAATCTAATGATTTCATGACACGTTGAAAAAGAAAATTATAATTTATTTATTTTTTTTTTTTTTTAAAGGAGAGAGGCAGCTAAGGCTGGATGTCCCAACCTCTGTACCTAACCATTGCGACGCGGCCCTCTGATGCTAAAAATTTTGATTGAAAACACGTTTAAAAAAAAAATGGAAACTTAAACAGGCGGTCCTCAGAGAATCAGAATTGAAGAAGAGATACATTCTTAGCAGATTGAAAACAAGCCCTTGTACAGTGTACAGAAAAATTGCTAAATGTGTCCCATACAATTGAAGAGTGACATTCCTTGGTTCCATATAGAGTGCATGTAGTTATGCCACCCGATGTGAAAATTGTTCCTAAACACGGTACTGTATTTGCATCCCCTGTTCTCATTTTTCAAAGAAACAGGTATGTTTTAATGTATATAATATTTAGTGATTCTTGTGTATATTGTGAATGTATTTATTAGCGTGAGAGCATGGAATATTGAATACTCCTGTTTGCACCTGGACAATGGACTTAACAAAACCTAATAAAATAAATGTGAACAGAAAGAAAAGAAAAGAAATCTCACCTGTCTTCCATCAGCTCACTTCACCAAAAAGAGTTCCAGGGGAATAGAGGATCAGAGAAAAACGAGGGTTTGGTAAAGGAACAGAAAACCCTTACTTTGTGTTGGAGACAACTATAAGGCACAGGAACATTCAATTGAATCCCCCCCGGCCACAGGCAATCGAAAGAGTTTGTTAAGGCGATCAAACCAGCAGAATCGAAATGGCTATTCTCTATCTCAAGGAAGGGAATTAGGAGGCTCATAGGTATTCTGACGGGCCACTGCCCACTGAGAAGACACCTCCTACCAGATCCCTTTTGCCGCTTCTGCGAAATAAAAGAAGGCACTACCTCGCAGAATATGATAGGTATGCTAGGTCTAGATTTGAAATCTTTGAAGGAGAGGACACCACCAAATCACTCCCTGAGATAAAATGGTCCAAAATCTTGGGGTTTGTGAACAGGTCCAAGAGGTTTATGCAGGACACGTGAGCCGACCAAGTCCCGGACCTTTTAGGGATGGAGTACGAGTCTACCCAGGCATTGAACCCCTCGGGTCTTGGTCGCCCACCCTGCATAATATATATATACACTTCGTTTTCCTAACTAAAAGGAAATAAATTTGAAAGCAACCCAAACAAAATCATATTAGAACCACATAACAAAGATAAATGAAAATATAGTTTCCTCAAGGAAACGAAATACATGTAACTTGCCATAACACTAGATCAAAAGCTCACCAGGAAGAAACAAAGCAAAATAATACAAAAAGGAAAGGCCATAACAAGTTTTGTAATAAAACATCTAAACTTGATAAAGTAATCAAAATTTCCAAATAAATTTAGGTACTAAGATAAAGAATGGGTACGAGAGAAAACACCTCCTTTAAGTCCTTATCTATTGGTACACTGATGGATCTAGAACAAAAGAAGGTACAGGGTTAGGAGTATTCGGTCCGGGAACCAAATACTCAGAACCAATGGGATAATACACCAGTATCTTCCAAGCTGAGGTCTACGCAATCGAGAAATGTAGTCAATTCAATTTGAATAAAGGATACAAAAACAAGAACATTCAATTGACGAAAATACGGTTGAACCACGATCTCAAGAACACGAACACCACTATATCTAGGGTCCACAACAAAATTTTAACCATCAGACAATAATTTTAAAAAAAATGTTCAGTGTATTCACCTGGGCGGTTCGACAACCGAACTGGTCCGAACAACAGACTAAAATATGGCTGAACCGAGAGACTGACCGTCTGAAGTACAACTGGGTGTAAACATCCCTATAGACTTTCAGGTAGATTAGTCAAGTATAGCGGATAACGGAGGAATATTGAGTACAGTACTCTAATGAGTGAATGTAAATGAAAAGAAAATATTTAAGAGGATGTCTAGGTTTAAAAACTGCATGCATTGGAGGTACATGGGCTTAGCTATTGACAGCCCCTTGAGTCATCTCCACCGGCAAGTCGGACCTAGGTCAGACCCTGGACTGGTAAAACCCAAAGTGGTAAGGCAGAGCCAATAGTAACTCCTTAAAATGATTCATGACATTCCTTGGTTCCTTATAAAGAGTGTGTAGTAATGCTACGCAATATGAGAATTGTGCTTGAGCACAGCAGTGTATTTGCGACCTTTGTTTTAATTTTTTCATGCTTTTTTATTGTATATAATAACTGATAGATATCTTACTCTGTGTTTCTTTTGTATACGGGGTGTCCCAGTTCCTTCTGACGAAACTCAGGGAATCAATTCTACTCTTCGTTTGGAGCAAAACACGCCCAGGAGAAAATTTTCGGAAAGTTCTCTATTTTGAAGATATTCGTCAATTTACGTTTTTTCAACTTTTCACTACCTTACCACATAAAAACGCTTACAACTTCCAAAATGTTGAGATACTACAAATCCAATTACACCATTTGAAAAAACGCTAAATTTGCTGTAAGATACTTCTTTGCAATAATCTGAATGACATAAAATGTTAGCCAATATCATGGAACATGTCAAAATTACAAAATTTTAAATTTTGGTCATGATCGCACGTTCTACTAAGGTTACAAAAAAATACCTACAACTTGTCAAATTTCACAAAAATTTCTTCATCTAATATGCTTTACGATGATATATCCAGGTTTTTAAATAACGTTCTAGTAGAGTTGAAAAATAACAATTGAATGTTCAAAAACGTGAGCTAAGGTAAAATTTTAAGGGGGGGTAGAAATAAATCAATTAGAACTCGCTTTGTAAAATAAAATTTATTATTTATTTATTTTAAATTTTGTAATTTTGACATGTTCCAACTGATATTGGCTAACATTTTATGTCATTCAGATTATTGCAAATAGAAATATCTTACAGCAAATTTAGCGTTCTTTCGAATGGTGTAATTGGATTTGTTGTAGTCTCAACATTTTGGAAGTTGTAACGTTTTTATGTGGTAAGGTAGTGAAAAGTTGAAAAAAAACCTAAATTGACGATCTTCAAAATAGAGAACTTTCTTTTTTTATGGATTTGTTGCTCCAAATGAAGAGTAGAATCGATTCCCTGAGTTTCGTCAGAAGGAACTGGGACACCCTGTATACTGTGAGTGTATTTATTAGCATGAGAGGATCAATGGTGGAATATTGAGTACCCTATAGACTTTCAATTAAATTGTGTAACAGGTAATGGAGGAATATTGAGCACCACCCTAATTGAGTGAATGTAAATAGAAAAGAAAGTATTTAAAAGAGTCTCTAGGCTTAAAAATGACTTAACTATTGACTGCCTCTGGATTCTAACTTCACCGGCGGGTTGGATAAAACCGAGTTCAGACCCCAGACTAGCAAAACCAAAGTGGTAAGGCAAGGGCCAATAGTAGCTTCCTTAAAATAATTGTTTTGATCTTATTCATGACATTCCTTGGTTCCATATAGAAAGTGTGATGCTAGCCGATGAGTGATGAGCACAGCAGGTTATTTATGTCCTCTGTTCTGTTTTTTGGTAGAAACATGGCTTTTTTTTATTGTTTATAATGCTTGATACATATCTCGTTTTGTGTTTCTTTTTTGTACAGGGAATACTTATTAGCATGAGAGGGCTGATGGTGGAATACTGAGTACGCCATAGACTTCAAGTTGGTCTGGTAGTTATGTGTAACGGTTGACTACTTCTCCATGCTAATTAAGTGAATGGTATGTAAATAGAAAATAAAATATTTAAGAGGGTGTCTAGGTTTTTAAAAAATGCATATGTTGGCAGCTGAAATAACCTAGCTGCCCCTTGAGTCTAACTCCACGGGCAGGTCGGATAAAACCAAAGTCCAGCCTTCCAAAACCCAAACTAGTCTTAAGTTCAATTTTGTATGGTTTGTGTACAGACTGGAGCTTTTATAAATCAGTAATACAACCTACTATGTACTGTTCCAACAGACCTTGTTGCTTGTGAGAAGTACACTCCGCTTTGTGGCATACGCTGTCGGATTGATGAGGGCCAACAGTTGCTTCCTTAAAATCATTCCCTTGATACTTATCGGTCCCTCCATCTGTAAAACATTTGAAATTATCCAAATGAAAGATGTAAAAATAAAAGGAGTGAGGGGTCTTTTTTGAAAACAAGAACGACTTGAAAATGTACATTATATTAAATTAGAAATATACATATATCATTCTTACAGGACTTATTGATCCACCAGAATCAGCAATAGGAAATGCCAAGTGAAGGTACGTTTCGAGTATTTTTTTAATATTTTCAGTACTAACAATGGAAGGGAGACACACCATCTTTCTGTTCATAATATTCTCCACAGACATGTCGACCCATAACGGTATAGGGCTGTTACTCAACATAATGTAACCTTTGACCAGTGCTATAGTTTTAATTATAGACTGAAAGAAAACAGTTACTTTTTAGAAAAATAAATTATGGAGGGAAAGAATTAAAAGATTTGTATACAAACCGAACCAAACAGTTTGCTCAAAAACCGGGAGACTATCACTATTATCATAACAGGTATAACAAAATTGATCGTGCCAGATGCCTCTATCATAATAATAGTCAAGCCAAGGCCCATTTTAGTAACACCACTAGTCTGAGCCACAGCACAAAGATATGCCAGTTTTATTGGCTTCTTGTACGAATCCTAAAACAAAATTGACAAATGTTTAAAGTAAGTTCGACCATAAAGGGAAACCATAAAGTTATAACGTACCATTTTTTTTTATAATCGTCCATGAGTTCAACTGCTTACCAACTTGAATACTGTTAGAACTTTATGATTTTTCCCCTGTAAACATTTCGATTTTACATTTTAAATTTACTGACTAAAAAATCAAACAAACCATAAAGTTTTGCAACATTCAAAAGTTAAAGTTTAAAAAAACTTGTGTTCTTTACCACTTATTTGAAGAAATGAACAGAAAACAAACAAATTTTTTTTTAAACTTGTTTTGCTAAAATTATTAATTTTTATTTATTGTTACAAAATGGACAAGAATAATATAGCGAAAAGAAATAAAATGATATGACTAAAAGAAGCTGAAACGTGTCTACCACAATACAAAAACATAGATGACCAATTATTTTGGTCTCAAAATTGTTTGGGTTGGATACAGTTAGCATAAAGTGCATTAAGAAGCACTAAAGTTATATCCTTCAAGTCAATTTTATTTATAAGAAAAGGTAAAATTGTACTGACTATACTTTGTTTATGGCTGGCCAATTTGTGTCTGCAAAACTATGGTCGAACTTAAATAAAATTATGAAATAATGCCAGGAAAATGGTCTAAATAGAAACTCTTCCAAGGATTTGTGCATTTACCAAGACAAAAAATTAAATTTGACAACACTAACCCTGTGAACCTAAGAAATCAGCATTCCAAAGAGTTACATACCTAGGAGTAGTACTTGATCAAAATCTTAAAATTATTTTTCAGCAAGAACCTTTCTTCTTGATTTGAGTTAATTTTGGCGGATTGATTTACAAATTGGGGGAAAAAACTTCCGAACATTTATGACTTTAAATGGGACATTCTGAAAAATTACAATTAATTAAGGTTTGTAGTTGAGATAAAAAAGTCAATGGCATGAGCGGGATTCGAACCCACGATCTTCGCCTTGATACGCCGCTGCTCTACCACTTGAGCTATCGTGACCTTGATCCACTCGGACACCAACTTCCCATCTCAACCGCACCTTTTGAATTTTCCCTCCTTTTTGCCATTTTTCAATTAATTAATTATAATATATTAATTGGCCAAGTGGACCACGAAATTAGTGAATTCTGAAAATGGATTGACAACAAACACAACAGTTTTTAGGACGCCTTTAGCGAATTTTAAATATTAGAAACAACAATAAATCATAGTTTTGTGAATTTTTTGCATGATTGACATTTTAGAAACCAGAAATATTAATTAGTGGTTATTTGTCAACATGGATGGCTAAAGCTAGGACATCCCAATCCCTGATCCAATCTGACCCTCTGATGCTTGAAACGCAATAAAACAGCATAAAAAAGAAAATGACTGTTGAAATCTGCAAAAAAGCTCTTATGTATCATGAGCACAGTGGATAAGTGGACCTCAGAAAATATAAATCATCATCATCAGACTCAGAGGCTATGACACACACTTTTGGGTCAGAGATCGCACATGCAGAGAAAAATATCTTGATGTGTCTCATTGGTATCACTCCTTGGCAATCTGTATACAGACTAAGAAATTGTACTTGGTATTAGTATGGCAGCAAGTAACTACTACAGAAAGTCCAATGCAAAAACCACTGAGAGGCACCCAAGGAATACTATCACCAACTTTATAGTCATTGGTATTGATGACCTACTACGTACACTAACCTCAATGAGCTTTGCTGTACAAGCATACATGGATGTAGTCATAATCAGAAGCAAATACCAGGCTCTGCACAAATACTTAAATATAATGCTGAAATAGTGCAAGGGAAAGGGTCTAAATAGAAACTCCAAGGAATTGCGCCATTCGCCAGGAAAAAAAATCTAAATTTTACTTTAACCCTGTCAAACCAAGAAATAGGCATACTAGAGAAGTTACACACCTCGGAGTAGTTCTTGATCCAAAGGTTAACCCACAACAGACCACAAAAGAACTTGTACCAAAGACTGATTGATTATATTTAAGATTGTAAGAGTTGTGATGATATATATAAGTTATATATGGTGGGCAAAAACAGAAGAAAGACAAAGGAACTACTGCAAAAAGTCCAAAGAATAGCATCGCTTAGCACCACTGTTTGCTCTTAAAACAATACCCAAAGCCAGAACGAAACATATCCTCAGGCTACCACCCTTGCCTATTGTATATATGTCTAAAGAATCATGGCGATTATGTAATTAATAGTTCATCGGTGAGTTGAAAGAAAGGGACTAAATAAATGCTGGCCATACCAAACCTAACAACAAAATTAAAATATGTGGTGATTAGTGACCGTTAGTCGATGATTATTCAGAAATCATGAGATGCAGTCTGGTGTGATGTAGGTTTCAGAAAAACATTTTCTTTATCGTGCCAACGTTTCAATCTTTATTGAGATCATCTTCAGGGCCTGGGATTTACAAACGTTTAAATTTAACAAATGCATGTAGGATGTGGAAAAAAGTGAATATATCATCACATAAAACGTATAATATAACATATAAAACATTCATCACATTCCACACATCAAACATTTTTACATAGTTTAATTTTTCAACAATTTTGCTTTCCTGTTTATCCCCATCTATATAATCCTGAAAGGATAATCTGCCGAACTATTACCAACGTTTTTCCCCTTCGTCGGCTCTTTTTGCCTCAAAGACGCTGACTCCTTATTGTATACCAACTTCCTTCCCCACCCCTTCAAAATCCAACGTATATAAACATAAAACAGCAAAATCTCACTGGCACTCTCAACACGACACGTAAGAATGGCACAATTATGCAGAAAACAAACACATATTTTTTGCATTGTATAAATTCACTTTTTTCCACATCCTACATGTATTTGTTAAATTTAAACAATGTTTGTAAATCCCAGACCCTGAAGATTATCTCAATAAAGATCGAAACGTTGGAACGAAAAAGGAAATGTTTTTCTGAAACCTACATCACACCAGACCGCATCTCACGATTTCTGAATAAAATTAAAATAACTGACATGGCTAGAACTATTTCTGACTTTGAACAGAAAATTTGAAAAATCATATGACATAATTAATGAAAGCAGGGTAAAATGGAAGGATAAAACAAAAGAAGGCAAACCTGGATCTGAAATTCCCATTACCAGAGATTAACCTTATAGTTAAGCTGTTTGTAAAACCCAGTTTTTTACGGTATTCAGACAGTTCCAGACATTGAGTTGAGCTTGGAGAACATTGCAAAGCTTTTGGAGCTATCTGGCTATCTGATAGTTATTATTGCACCCTTGAGATGTTTGTTATTTCATGTGGATATGTTTCTTCGGTTTGCAATTTGACTTGAAAGAAATGGTTAGGCTGAAGAGTGTGTGGTGTTCATATGCCTCTTTATTTATTTATTTATGGATCGAGATCCACTATAAAAAAGACATTTTACAATAACAAAAAATATAAATAATATATGTAAAAATACAAATAATATATATAAAAAGAATAAGGACATATATACATGGTAATCATATAAATGGTAAATATAAATGATAAATATAAAAATACAAGTAAAGAGTAAAAACTGAACAACAAAAATGAAAGACATAATTACTAACCAAATAAGGCAGAGAAAACAAAATAAAGCTGAAAGACAATTGAAACTACAATAATTAGGTACATATTTAATGAAAATAATGCTCTTTGTAAATATATAATAAGACTAGAGTGCGAGAATTAGTTGAACCAGTAAATGAAATAAATTGTAATAATTTTGTACAGTATGAAATATAAAAGCATACAAAGATAAGGTTTTTCACAGATTGCACAGAACTATTGAAGGAGTCAATGCTATTGCAGATGTTGTTACTCTTGATCACCATTCTGTGTAGAGGAGAAGAGAGTAGTTAGAGCTTTGGAATTCAATATAAAATAATTTATAGGTTTTAAGAGAGTGCGAAGGGACATGTAGCTGTAGTTGAGAGAGGAGATAAGGACTTTAATAATTTAAATACAAAAACAATATCAAAGTAATCCCTTCTTAGTGCCAGTTCGAAAAGTTTAAATTCAGAGCGGATTCCAGGGTAGGCAGAATTCAGAGGAAGATTGAGTTTGTCGGAAAGTTTTTTTAAAAATTTGTTTTGTATAGATTGAAGAATTTTTTGATAATTTAGATAAAATGGGTTCCAAACAGGTGTAGCATATTGATCCTTTACGACCTCAACTCGCGTTAAGAGAGCATCATGGAGAGTATAGAGATAAATAAAAGGTTGTTTCTTATGAGAGAATGTAATTGTGTAGCATTTGGAAACATTAAGAGCAAGTTTGTTATTAGAGCACCAGTTATTATTGATAGAATTTTGTAATTGTAAGCAATCAGAAGGAGAAGTGATTATGGAATAGATTTTCAAATCAGCAAATAATAAAAATTGAGCAGAAGGAAGAGCAAGATGGATATCATTAATAAATAAGAGAAACAAAACTGGTCCAAGATGAGACCCTTGCGGGACTCTCGACCTTGAGCCATCTTTATACCATAGAAGCTATCATATAAAGATGGCTCAAGGTATGGGCATAAAGAGGCATAACTATGAACACCACACGGTCTTCAGCCTAACCACTTCTTTCAAGCCGAATTGCAAACCGAAGAAACATATCCACATGAAATAACAAACATCTCAAGGGTGCAACAATAACTATCAGATAGCCAGACAGCTCCAAAAGTTCTCTCCAAGCTAGAGAACTGTCTCAGTCCCCTAAAAAAATGGGTTTTACAAACAGCTTAACTATAAGGTTAATCTCTGGTAATGAGGGAATTTCAGACAATAAGGCAACGTACCTAAAAATGGAGCCTTGGGATACATCTTAACTAAAGAACACGAAATATCCAGGGAACCATGAGACAAGCAGAAAAACTTCTTACAAAATTAACCCCATGGGAGAAAGAGGAAATCTTACTCAAGAGAAAGCATTAAAACGTATTTTTACATAATTCCAGTAAAATATCGCTTAAAAAATGGGATTATCAACTGATCATTACTAGCCATTGTGTGTAGAAGAGACAGAGAACAGAACATATCCTATGCAACTGTCAGCAATAGGCTACGGTAGCTAGGAAAGCCATTCTTGTGCGATATCATACCGTTGAAAACGAATAAATATCTTCTAGAAAATCCATTAACAGAAATCATTCTTAGTAGACAAAATTTTAGAGGCTAAATGGAAAAATGGGGGAAAAATAGTTTGAGTAATTTTTGACAATATAAAATGAACTTGAAGAGTAAGTTTACACTGGACATTTAAAAAAGTATTATTTTGTTTTATAATTTTTTTTTTTTTTTTGCAGAACGAGGTTAAATATATATGCTCTTTAACAATTAGCATAAATAGCAATTTAATAAGTAAAATGTTACAGTAAAATATTCTCAAGAGTAAACTTTTTTGCTTACCTTTATAAAACTCAAATGGGTAAGCACCATAGACAAAATTCTACCCCAAACTGCTCCAATTATTAAGTTTGGTAGAATAATGCCGGAAGGCATGAAGGTCCCACAGTGGAGCAAAGACCAAAGGTAAAATTGGCAAAGGAAAACCACAAGAACATGAGGTGAATACTGATCTGAAAAAAAATAATATTTGATTAGAAATTTTGTACATGTTCTTGTTGATTTTAAATCCCTCTTTAAACATTAGCTGGCTTTAAATATTTCAAATTTTTAAGTAATAATTTGTTAATTTTGTTGTACTATGTCAATATAAATTGCATCCTTCAGTATTAAATTTTTCAATTTTTACCTTTCTTCACTGTGAATAAGGTTCTGGTGATATATGCGGGATCTTGGAACATCAAAGTGCTCATGCTAGCGTAACTTGCATTTCCAGTACAGTGAGGCTGCGTTTAATAGAATGATTTTAGGAATTTGATCTGATAAAAACCGCTAAGAAATTTACATTAAACTCTTTTAAGAGTGTGTATTTCTCTCTTTCTGCAAGTTTATCGTCCATGCAGTTTGCAGATTTGTCTAATGCGATATAGAACAATATTCCACTCAATGATATAATACTTGTCACCACTGCTATGTCTGCCAACCTCAGCCACTTGTTCTTCAAGAAACTAGAGATTGTTTTATATTAATTACAATTGATTAAGGTTTTTAGTTGAGATAAAAAAAGTCAATGGCACGAGCGGGATTCGAACCCACGATCTTCGGCTAGATACGCCGCTGCTCTACCACTTGAGCTATCGTGACCTCGATCCACTCGGACACTAACTTCCCATCTCAACCCCACCTTTTGAATTTTCCCTCCTTTTTGCCATTTTTCAAATGTCGTGTAATCAAATTGATTCTCGGCGACAAACGAAATGGCCACGGAGAGCTTTGGATACTTCATTTTAAACTTATTAAATTCACTAGTTTCGTGGTCCGCTTGACCAATTAATATCATACAATTTATTAAAGTTTTTAGTTGAGATAAACAAGTCAATGGCACGAGCGGGATTCGAACCCACGATCTTCGGCTTGATACGCCTCTGCTCTACTACTTGAGCTATCGTGACTTCGATCCACTCGGACACCAACTTCCCATCTCAACCACACCTTTTGAATTTTCCCTCCTTTTTGCCATTTTTCAAATGTCGTGTAATCAATTTGATTCTCGGCGACAAATGAAATGGCCACGGAGAGCTTTAATGAAGGATACTTCATTTTAAATTTATTAAATTCACTAGTTTCGTGGTCCGCTTGACCAATTAATATCATACAATTGATTAAGGTTTTTAGTTGAGATAAACAAGTCAATGGCACGAGCGGGATTCGAACCCACGATCTTCAGCTTGATACGCCGCTGCTCTACTACTTGAGCTATCGTGACCTCGATCCACTCGGACACTAACTTCCCATCTTGTTATCAAGTTGGTGTCCGAGTGGATCGAAGGTCACGATAGCTCAAGTAGTAGAGCAACGGCGTATCAAGCCAAAGATCGTGGTTCGAATCCCACTCGTGCCATTGACTTTTTTATCTCAACTAAAAACCTTAATCAATTGTATGATATTAATTGGTCAAGCGGACCATGAAACTAGTGAAATTAATTACAATAATTTTATGAAATGGTAAATAAACATGGTACCGGTATCTGATACGAATCAAGATTGACTGAAACAAAGTCCAACAAGCCCCTGACAAACCTCCAATTATGCCAATGAGAAAATACATCGGAATCTCCACAAAATCCACAAATATAGAGTCTTCTCTCAACGGTGAAAAAATATTTATAGGGTGAAACTCTCCATCTATTGAAGAAAAAAAGTTTTAAATTATTATTACTATTTATTTTATTTTTTAACTCAATACCTTTCATTCCCCTGTAATAATAATAAGTACAAACGGAAATAAATGAAGCTATTGTTCCTGTGGCCATAAATAAAAAGATAATTTCTCCTCGCCAATGCGAAAGATGCTCCATTGCAAACATCAAACCTCCTAAAACAAAACAAAAATTAATGCAAGTTGAAAAGTTTCTCTAAAAATAAATATTAATAATTAAAGGCTAAAAAATGAGAAACTATTCTCTCTCAATATCAGCTGGTGTATCCCAAAGCTCCATTATTGGACCTTTATTCTTTTCCATGTTCCTAAATCTTATATTAATTTCTCCTCATTTCAACTGTATGCTGATGACACTCAGATTTACTATAAACGTCCTACAAGCAACATCTCTGAAGCTATCTCTAAATCAGAGGTCAAGTACTGGCATTCTTTTATCCTGACAAATCCCAGTACTTATTAATTTTCAAAAAACTATTAATATATACCGCATATCCCCTCCTTGTATCAATGGCTATTAATTTTTGTCCTAAAGTTAAAAATCTCAAGAGTTATTTTCAATTCCAAGCTTACATGGCAGGACAGTCTACTCTAGGTTCCATTCTCTTTGATGCTTTTTTACACCACAGAAAATTAGATTTCACCTTATTAAATCCATAATAATTCCTTTATGCCCTTCTTCAGCAATCTTAAGCTTTTATAAAATTAGAGTTCTAATACAAATATTATAACAACAAATTATGTCCAGGCTCTCCCCTCCATGATAGAGGCAGGAAAGCGAGAACGGATAGTTCAGTCTAGCCTAGGCATTGGAAGCAAAACATTAAGAAAAAAATCCAGCTGAAAGCCAGTCAAATCAGATTTGTATCCACTTTGATTTTTATTAATATAAATTATTTCTGTTGTGTGGCCCATTTTCATTTATGGTTTTTTATTTGGTATTTTTCCATTTTGGTTATCAAGGTTGATTATTTTAATTTTGCCCTTCAGGCCCATATTATCTCCCTAGTATCTAAGTTATTCTTGTATTGTTAGTTTGTAAGCAAAGGTTCATGTTTTGTTGTTTTATATTTTTATATAACGTATCTTGATTCATAAGGAAATACATTTTTTTTTTTTAAAGAAACAAAATAGAGGTGTCCCTCTGCAATAGTGTTCATAATTTATTTCAAATCAAAATTCCTTTGATTTTGAGGCAGATCACCGACCTCAAGGGGGTTAATCAAACTTTAAAAGACGGAATATAATCATTCCTTAAAGGATCCACAATAAATAATGGAAGCAGAGCGTGGTTTCGATCCACGGACCTCTGGGTTATGGGCCCAGCACGCTTCCACCATTATATTCCGATTATATTCCGTCTTTTAAAGTTTGATTAACCCCCTTGAGGCCGGTGATCTGCCTCAAAATCAAAGGAATTTTGATTTGAAATAAATTATGAACACAATTGCAGAGGGACACCTCTATTTTGTTTCTTTAAAAAAAAAAATGTATTTCCTTATGAATCAAGATACGTTATATAAAAATATAAAACAACAAAACATGAACCTTTGCTTACAAACTAACAATACAAGAATAACTTAGATACTAGGAGGATAATATGGGCCTGAAGGGCAAAATTAAAATAATCAACCTTGATAACCAAAATGGAAAAATACCAAATAAAAAACCATAAATGAAAATGGGCCACACAACAGAAATAATTTATATTAATAAAAATCAAAGTGGATACAAATCTGATTTGACTGGCTTTCAGCTGGATTTTTTTTCTTATTGTTTTTCTTCCAATGCCTAGGCTAGACTGAACTATCCGTTCTCGCTTTCCTGCCTCTAGCACGGAGGGGAGAGCTTGGACATAATTTGTTGTTATAATATTTAAAATTAAATTGAATAAATGTCCCCAATATCTATCAACTTTTTTCCCTCAATTCTTATCCAAATGCATCAATAATAACCGAAATCTTCAACACTCCTCTAAAACTGTAGCCATATCCGTAGAATCACAGGTCACAACTAAGGAATTTGCTTCCCCAGGAAGTATGTAATGTATATCATACAACGATACAGCTAAATATCTAGGAATGACCTTAGATGCCAAGCTGAGATGGAAAGAACACGTGAAGAAAAACCGGACAGAAATAGGTTTAAGGTATAGACCACTATACCGGTTGATAGGACGTGGCTCCAACCTTCCTATACAAAATAAAACATACAAACAAACCCAAAAGCCTACGTGGGCATATGGTATCAATTATGGGGTTGTACCAAACACAGCAATATCAAAATCGTACAAACACTCAAAAATAAAATCTTACCTAACATGGTCAATGCACCTTGGTACATAATAAGGATTTACATCATCTTAAGATTCCTGAGGTCACGGCGGAAATACAAAGATTTGCCGCAAAACACCAGGCTCGCCTCAGCCAGCATGAGAATGTGGAAGCGACCAAACTCTTACATAACCGAAACATGGTCAGAAGGTTAAAAATAACAAAGCCATATGAACTTATGTAGTTAAAAATTAATAGTGAATAGTGAAATGTAAATCTTATTGTACCGATGGGTTTATAAGAATGTAAACATTTATTTATTCTATTATTGTAAAATTAATGGTTGGTCTAATAAGACCAGTTTTAATAAATAAATTTAATTAATAAAAAAAAATATTGTACAATATCTAGTATTGAAATTCCATCGTAACTAATTACGAAAGGCAGAACGTGTAATTTGATCCTTACTGATTTTCTGCTTATGCTCGCTAGGTATGTCTATTAGTCACATTGCCGCTCTTTATCTTCATCAGTGTGTCTATGTGAACAATGTGAGTCAAGTCTTTGAATAATGTTGTGACAATGAAAAGTTAACGTTAATCGGTTTTTTTTTTTCTAAAAACGCCTAATAAAAAATTATAGGGAGGGAACAGAATTTAAAATCACCCTGTGCAATGTGACAAACCAATCCATTTGTGGCAAAGGGAACAAATTTGCTTGTGCTCTGACACTTTTTGAATCACATGATAATATTAAAAAAATTAGAAACAGAAAGATACACAAAATTTTTTCAAAAAAACGCTATTTCATCCGCGATGTAAAAATTTATCTCCTTCATGAGGACTTTCTTTGCATAATTAATAAATTACAAAGGTACTTAAGAATTTGACATTTTTTGGAGGATCTACGGAAGAGGTCAACACAGTTTTTAGTGTCCTTTCAGTTTTCGCCGAGCTTTGGACAGTTTTTATACTGTAATCTTCAGGGCCTGTTTTATTATCATATAATAACAACAATTAAAAACATGAAAAAACAATTTCACAAAAATTGAAAATTTGATATATCTTACTTTAAACTTTAATGGGGAAATAAAATTCAATTTTTGTGCAATTGTTTTCTCATGTTTTTAATGGTTGTTTTTATATGATAATAAAACAGGCCCTGAAGATGACAGTATAAAAAAACTGTCGAAAGCTCGGCAAAAACTGAAAGGAAGTTTTTTTTTCCTCTGTGTTGACCTCTTCCGTAGATCCTCCGAAAAACTTCATGTTTCCAGCAGGTCGATAACCCAGCTCATCGTCACTAAAGAATTGTTAGATTTTATATTATAATTAATGTGTAGTGATTAATGACCCTTAGTTGATGATTGGGAAATCGTGAGATGTGTACCAAACACAGCAATGTCAAAATTGTACAAACACTCAAAAATAAAATCTTACCTAACATGGTCAATGCACCTTGGTACATAATAAGGATTTACATCATCTTAAGAGCCCTGAGGTCACGGCGGAAATACAAAGATTTACCGCCAAACAACAGTCTCGCCTCAGCCAGCATGAAAATGTGGAAACGACCAAACCCGAAACACCGTCAGAAGGTTAAAAAGAACAAAACCATTATGAACTTGTTTAGTTAAAAATGAATAGTGAATAGTGAAATGTAAATCTTATTGTACCATTGGGTTTATAAGAATGTAAACATTTATTTATTCTATAATAATATTGTAAAATTAATGGTTGATCGAATAAGACCAGTTTTAATAAATAAATTGAATTAATTTAAAAAAAAAATAAAAAACTTGCTGCCACACTAATACAGAGTACAATTATTGTACACTTTCTAAAAGCCAAGGATACCAGTTACACGAGACATATCGAGGAATCTTTCTCTGCACATGAAATTCTGACCCAAAAATCATGGCACTGCGCTAATGCTACATAAGAGCTTTTTTTGTAGATATATCCAAACTGTGCAGTCATTTTCTTTTTTTATGCTTTTTTATTGCTTTTTAAGCATCTGAGGGTCAGACGACTGGATCAGAGATCGGGATGTCCCAGATAACTATGATTAATTATTGTTTCTAACAATTAATTAAGGTTTTTAGTTGAGATAAAAAAGTCAATGGCACGAGCGGGATTCGAACCCAGGATCTTCGGCTTGATACGCCGCTGCTCTACCACTTGAGCTATCGTGACCTCGATCCACTCGGACACTAACTTCCCATCTCAACCGCACCTTTTGAATTTTCCCTCTTTTGGTCCTCCCTCCTGACATCCCATTGGTCAAGCAGACCACGAAATTAGTGAATTGTTTCTAACATTTAAAATTCACCTAAAGGCGTCCCAAAAACTGTTGCTGTGCTTGCTGCCAATCCAGCCGCAGCGAAATTTCTTCGGTCAATGTCCCATTCGAATGTGTAGAATGGCCGGAATTTCTTTATCCCGATTTTGTAAATTAATCCGCCAAAAATGACTCCAATCAATAAGAAAGGTTCTTGCTGAAAAATATTAACTAAATTTTAAGAGAAACACTTAAGAAAGAAAATTAATAGCGAATTAATTGTAATACCAAACCGCCCGGTAAATTTGCCATCACCATTAAAAATGTGGCTAGGCTCCTGACTATAAATGACATGCTTGAACACAAATTTGGCACATCGACTCCATTCAAAAAGCCCAATATTTCTGGTAGCCCTGATCCTTCTCCTGTTGGCTAGAGTTTTAACTTTTATAAATTTATCTTTTTACATAACATAATGTAAATTAACATACCTCTAAAAATATCACAAGACTACCACTTAACAGTGCAAGACTCAAGTTTACCAACCACCAAAACATCACAGCGGGTACAACTTTACCATTTTTTAAGACTAAAATTGAAGTGAAGGATACTTTACTGCTTTTTAATGCTCATTAAGCTAAATGTTAACATATCACGCGCAGATCTTAAATTGTGACAATGTGCGAATAAAAGGATACGTAAGGACATAATTTTGATCTTTAAAGCCATGAACTCGCCAATAGATATTTCTAAAATTAGAAATGTACTTGGTACTATAATTGTAATTAAGAAGAGAACGATCCACTTGAGATAGAGGCGTTTTGTTTCACTTGTTTCGCTCTCTTGCTTCAAAAAAAATTTACTTGCAAAAGGATAATCAAAGTTCAGCGACTAAAAATCAGAAAAAAATGTAAATGTCAAACAATTTAGAACAAGCAATATTTTATAATATATAGAACAATTTCAGCCTACTGAGCTTGTAGATTAAAAAAAAAAACTTCTGCCTGAATAATTTATTATTTTGGCGGATTTTAAAAAATAATCTATATTTTTCAAGGTTTATGCTAATAGTTTAGATACTTACATTAATCTCTGGCTTGGGTAGATGTAGCGTGTCATACGATGGTTCTTCTTTATTTATCAGCATAACCGACAAAACGGACTCCTGAGTTTGAAGGTCAGGCGAAGCCATTGTGTCCGGTGGTGCCTGATCACATTTTTTTTTTTCAGTATGTGTTTTAAAAAGACAGACAAAAGCCAACATGCTACCAACTAATGTTCGGACGAGTTAAAATGGACCCAAGAAATTCTTGTTACAAATCTGTTCAGTCTACTAGTTGGCAACATAGTTAACTGTTATACAACTGAATTAATTAAAAAGCTTAAATTTACTCTACCGTAGGCCAGAAGAGATACAACGTGAATAATTGTTCTTACAAATTGCTTTTCTAAACACCCAACATCTTTAACATCTGTATTAATGTTAAAAAATTTTTAAAAAAATAATAACTGTTACCTCTTGAAGTTGATTTTTGTGCTTTTTCCTAGGCATGAATGATAAAATAGTTCAGCTGCAAAAACTCATGTGGTAACTCAAATGTAGAAATATTTGTTTTTAAATCAGTACTGATTTTTTTTAACATTTTCACAAAATTAGTTAATAATAAAACAAAATTTATTTTTACTCAATTAATTATACAGAATTTTTTCGGCCGAAACTCGTGGGTTTGAATCACGCCTGTGACACAAATTTTTCATTTCAATAAAATTATGTATAATTACTTGATTATTTATATAATTAAGTAGAAGCTGATAAAATAATTAAAAATTTAGTAAAAATTTATTTTTAAACACTTTTCATGGGCTGAATGTTAATATTATATGTTCAGTATATTATGTATAGGTGACTATCGCATGAATATCAAGTACAGATGTAAAAGAGTGAAGAATGCTCTCCCATAGTTATCATTTTTTTTTTCCCCAACCACTGTGCCAATTTTAAATGCGTGGGTCCCAGGTCACTGTGGTATAAAAGGCAACGAGGAGGCTGACCGAGCAGCAAAATGTGCTGCATCGAATGGTATTTACGTGCCGGAAGTGCCATGTGAAGACTTTGCTGTTTTTCTTAAAAGAAAAATTTGGAACCTCTGGCAATCGGAATGGCGAAATACCGAGGATAACAAACCCAGAGAAATTAAGGAAAGTGTCAGACAGTGGGACACGGCAATGCAAAGATCTCGAAAAGAAGAAACCGTGCTGGCCAGGCTCAGGATAGGTCACACAAGATTAACACATGGTTACCTAATGGTCAGAGAATCTCGCCCAGGATGCACAACTTGTGGTGAAATAATCACCATCAAGCATATTCTGTCAACATGCAGAAACTACGAAGACCTTCGGGTCAAACATAAGCTTGGAAACAATGTGACCGAAATTTTGAAAGATTCCCCAGCTAACATTAAAAAGCTTTTTGAGTTCCTAACTGAATCTGGGTTGACCGATAAATTGTGAATAACAATGAGTAGGAGGGCAGGACGGCCTTGGGTGCGGGTGCGGCTCCTGGGGGGCCAGTGCCGGGGGTGGGTGGGGCTGGCCTCTGGGTTGAGTTTGAACCCCGGAACTTGGGAGGGCTGCGGATGCTGGCACACCATGCGCAGCCCTCTGAGAAGTCTGCCACTGTCTCTTGACCACTAAGATCTTGTGTGGAGAGGAGCTGGTCTGGGTGTCTGGTTCTTGCCTGGTCTTGTGGTGTCCGGTTCGCTGTGGGGGTGCGCCTGCTCTTGATGTCCCTGCCCTCCTGGCCTATCGCTCTCTGTCTTCTTCTCCCTACGATTAATTCATCGTCAAGGCAGTTTTGACCCATCGTGGTTGTATGCCTTTATAATATTAATAAAAAAAATATTTAAAAAAATAAATGCGTTATATTGTATATATCACATTGTTTTTATATACTGTACATACACTGTTAAATTTTAATGTATTTAGTATTTATTCATATTTTCCATACCAAATATAGGTTTGGTTGGTTAAAAAGAAAAAGTTTATTACTAACTATTAAAATAAAAATAAAGACCTGGAATAACCTATGAAATGCTAATCTGGTTGAACAAAGCTCAACAAAAAGCAGCTACTCAAAGATTAGGCAGCATAGGGGCTACATACTAGCAAACATATGCATCACAGGGGAAATGAGAACAACCCCTACAAGTGCACTAGAAACTCAGCTAAACCTACTCCACGGGAAATATTTATACAAGGAGAGGTTAGGAAAAGCTCATTTAGGCTCCAAAAACAATTAAATTGGTTAGGAACTAAACAATTCGGGCATACAATCTTAATAAACAAAATCAGACACACATGATTAGAAATGGGGACTGACCGAAAACATTCTTCACAACATCCTATACAGTCTCAACAGATTATAAAGGAGAGGAAGAACACAGGAGAGCTTCAGATACAATGATATGTATACAGATGGCTCCAAAACAAATGAAGGAACCGGATCGGGCGTTTTCTGTACGAGCCCAAAACATGAGCAATCAGACATCGGTCTTTCAAGCAGAAATACATGCCATCAATGCTTGTGCCCTGGAAAATCTTAAAAGAGGTTACACTGACAAAAAATCCTCATAAGATCAGATAGCCAAGCAGCCATTAAAACATTGGCGTGTAAAAGAATCACATCAAAATTAGTGAATGCATCCAAAAACTCCAAAACCTGGGGAAATACAACCTGACGATATCTTGGGTGCCAGGGCACAGGGGGATTTTGGGTAACAAGAAAGCACAGTCTGGCCAGAGGAGTATCTGTAAGACCTATACTTGGGATAAAAACAAATATAGAATCCTCCATCGCAGGATGGATCCAAACAAAACAAAAGAAGTGGAACTCTAGCAGTGCTAGACATAGAAAACTTATGATGAAACAACCCTCATCAAGACTGTCAAAAGCACTGCTGAAATTGGAGAGGGCCAAACTCAGAGTGGTAGGACTACTCATCGGCCACTGGCATCTGAGAAAACATCTACCCATGGGTATATAAAACAATGATCCCATTTGCACATTATGTAATGAGGAGGAGGAAACAGCCACTCATATCATCTTCGAATGCGAAGCAACAGCTCAATGGAGATTTAATCTAACGTACAGAAAAAACTTAGGGAATCAAATTGCAGCACTGGCAGTCAATGACCTGATTAAGAAGGATTGTCTACTGCACTGAACTAAGGAACTAGGAAGGTACAAGCCAGAAGGCTGCAGTGCCTGCGGAGCACAAATCACGCTTCCTAGTATCTTTTTTTACCATACCATACCAACTCTAAAAAAGCCAACTATGAGTTTCACAAAACTCAGAAAATAAAAAATTTTTTGGGGGGCGTCAGTGGCCAAAACGGTTTAGGCGTTGACACAGTGCACATCACTGTAAGGTCAAGGTCCCGGGATCGAATGCAGGACCACTGGATATCTCATCATCCTCAGTAATGAATAAATTTTATCGAAAAAATAAATTGTAAAGGGAAAGTTTAAAAAAATCAAGGTAAAATCCTTAATATGTTTATTAAACAATTCTAGATTACATTTTATTCGATATTATTATCTTTACATTTTTTTTAATTAGTGGGGCGATTAAGCTGTGGCAGTGTTAAAGTGGCATTTCATTTTACCCAATGTCACAATTAGTTTCTCCATTTAACAAAAAAAAACTAACTTCTTAAAAAATTTATCAGTATCAACTCATAACAATATTTAAATTATAAATGCCTCTATATATGCATCAACTCTTAGCACAAAAATTAGTATTTGAGCAAATTTTAACTCTATACAAAGCTTTTTTTCATTTTTTTCAATTAAAAAATCTCTAACATGCAACAAAAGACACCGATTTGTATTTCTTCAAAACAAAACAAGGAAATAAACGAAAAAGGGGGCGGGTATCAATCATACATATTACAATATAAATTATTTATATAACAAATATAATTTTGAAATATTGAATATAAATTCAAAGCAATGTTATGTACATAATATTTAGGCTTAGATTAAAATATACACTCCAGTAACAATATATATATAAATTAGAAACTTAAAAAAAAAATCCAAATAATAATGAGAAATAATACTTTAATAAAAAAAAAAACCATGTTTGATTTCATACATTTGTGTATGCCTTTCAATGTCTGGGGAAAATTGAATGGCCTAATATTATAAATAATATTAACAAATTAGTTAATAAAAAAAGATGGGGTTTTTTTTAATGAGATTCAATATTATTTCTTGTTTGAGATTATTTTTTTAACTATTTCGAAAAAGCTTGAATATTCAATATAATCAATCAAGATTGAAAAAAAAAAACCATATTTATTCTGCCTGATAAAACCTTAGTGGACGATAAAACCTGGAATCTAATGCTAGATTTTTCAACACGATTAGAAATAAACCTCATTTGAAAAAATCACATATATTTGGTGTTTTACACATCTGAATTTTTCTTTTGTAATGCAGCACAAAATGATAATTCTATGCAATTTTAAAACGGAAATTATACACAGCTAATATATTTTTATTACTCATGTATGTACGTGTGTATATATAAATTCATAATCGTTACATACATATAACTTAAAAATGCATACTATTTATTACCTTTAAAAATATACTCTTGATATCTTAATAATAATAGATTTCTATTATTCTTACAAATACTGATCCGTACACACATATCACTTTAAATAATAACTTTTTGTGCTGAAATTATTAAAGCATTCTCATTTTTTCTTCAAACAATTAGTTAATTAATAAATTTAAAATGGCGTTTAAATAATTAACCGCAATATTTCTGAATATACGTAAGGGCTTGAAATAACTGTTACAATATATAATTTATAATACGCATATCGATTTTATTAAGGCAAGAAAATAAATATTGAAAATTTAATATATTCAATCCAAAAAATATATTTTTTTGTTGTTATATCAAAATATAATATAGTGTTAATTTAAAAAGTGATTATACTATATGTAATTATAGAATCATAAGTGTTATGTTACAACTTCTGTAGTTTATGGGATAAATGGATAGACCTTAAAAGAAAAAAATGTTTTTAAAAAAATTATCCGACTAAAAATCTCAAAAAAGAAAAAAAATTACATCCAACAACAATTTGCATAACAGTTTAACAAATGATATAACCATGTAGATGTCAAAATGAATTATCCCATATAGAAAATATATAGACAGTTATTTACATGAGCCTAGCCTAATAAATGTATCTATTTTTTTGCTATCGTATAAATTCAGGGCAAAAAAAAAAGAATTTTTTAGTTTTTAATTCTTGAACTCAAAATTTAAACATTTGAAACGCTATTATTTCATATTTCATATTGTAAAAATTGTAACATCATCAATTGGAAATTTGTTATTTACAACTCAGGTAACATAAAACTTGTTTTATTAAGTTTTTATTTATCTTTTTTTAGGCTCATTAAAAACTATTTACAGTCATAAGGGTAGTTTACAGCCAGCAATGGGTTTTAATGATTTTAATGGGGTGGAACCTATTGCCATAACTGCGTTTGATCAGATATCGTTGATACCAGGTCTATAGTTTGACTCGGTGATTAGCATATTTGTTTAAAAATATACAAACATCCTTATAACACAATACACTTCCTCTTTGGCTTCACCTGAAGGATCGGGCAAAGTACTGCTCGGATGGCTTCGTCGAATACAGTCTTTAACCCTTTCTGGGTCAGCGCACTACATTCTAGATACTTTACAGCACCAATCTCTTTAGCCATAGCTAGGCCCTTGAAAATTGAAACAAAAAACATGACACTAGATTAGTTTTTTTTTATTGATATTAACAAGCAAAAATAATTTTAGTTAATATATACAAAAATGAATCCTTGATTGACACTTATTTTCATAATGTATTTTCAATGGAAATGTGTTTGGGCTGGATGCATAATTTTGTGTGATCATTTTTGCGTTACCCGGGAGTGCACATGGAAAGGCTAGATTAAGTAATGTCAGACTGGATTAAGTAAATAGGTTAGGATTAGGTTATGGTTAGGCTTATTTAGGTACGGGTAGTGTTAGGGTTAGTTGAGATAAGGTTGGGTTGAATTATGTATGGTCTTGTTAGGTTAAATAAGGTATAGTTATGGTTAGATTTAGTTAGGTAGGGCTAGTGTTTAAATAAGATTAGGCTAAATTAGGTATAGTCATGGTTACGTTAAATAAGGTAGATATAATTATTAGGATCAGTTTTGTTAGGTAGGGATAATGTTAGGGTTAGTTTAGAGAGGTTTTGATTAGGTATGGTTATGGTTAGGTTTAGTTGGCTAGGGGTAGTGTTAGGGGTAGTTTAGATAAGGTTAGGGTTAATTTTTATAAGATTAGGTATAGTAAGGTAGATTAGGAATGGTTATGGCTAGTTAGATAGTAGTGTAAGGGTTAATTTAGGTAGGGTTAGGTTAGATGATGTATGGTTAGACTTAGGTTAGATTAGGCATGGTTATGATTAGGTTTAGTTGGTAGGGGTAGTGTTAAGGTTAGGTTTAGGGGTGGTAAGAAGTGATGTAGGCACAGAACATAAGATTGTATGAATGATCCAGAGAGCATTAATTTGCTACACTTTTTTTAAATTTATTGACATTGAGTATGTTTTTGGGTGAAGAACCACTCCTTCTGCTCTTAGCATTATGAAAGTCAAAGAAAATGTGCCTCAAAGAACCAAATCCTGTAGGGCGATCTTTGATTTTGTACAATCGGATCGCTTATTTATACAAGAAAATCAGGTCAGTAGAGATAAATTGTATTCTGTCTGACAAGGATGCCGAATTACGTAGTACAACTAGATCTCCAGAAAACCTTAGTCAGGTATTGCTTCTCACTATGACAAATCATTTACTGTCTGGCCGGGCCTTTAAGGTAAGGGTACATATATGATTCCATTTTTTTTTTTTTTTTTGTGAAGCATTTCATGGGTTTTTTAAATGTCATACACATTATTAGAAATATTGTAATTTGTTATTTGATTGATTCTATTCTGCTTTTGTCAAATAATTTGTAAAGCTGGAAAGAAGGAAATTAAGCGACTAACCTGAGGGTAAGTAATTGGAGTTAATTTCTTTTCCTTTAGTCTTTCAATAGTATCCTTATCTTCTCTTAGATCAAGTTTAGTACCGACTAATATGATTGGCGTTGATGGACAGTGGTGTCGTACCTCAGGATACCACTGTGGACAATAATGATAATTATGATCAGAAATTTTTTTCAACTTTGTATGTATCAATGAATCAAAGCTCATTTTTGTTAAATGAAAAATCACTGATCAGATTTTTTTTTTTTTGTAATGTCTGGAAGTGCAAAGATTCCTTGTATATGACTAATGCATATGATTCATATATCAAAGATACAGAATTGTCAAAGTAATCAAGTCTCATTTACTTTTGCACGGACGTTTTCAAATGAAGCTGGATTCACCAGAGAGAAACAAATAAGAAACACATCCTGAAACAAAATAATTTTAGATTGATTCTGAAAATAAAAAAGTCAGCCTATTTAAATTTAATATTAAGTACCGTTTGAGGATAAGACAGAGGCCTAAGCCTGTCGTAATCTTCCTGACCAGCTGTATCCCATAAACCTAGGTTGATAGGCTTCCCATCGACCATAACATTGGCAGAATAGTTATCAAATCTGAAAATTAAAATTAATTGACTATTGATTAAGCAGGTAATAAATAATTCAGCTGAAGTAAGTTATGGATTAAAATGTGACACGACTAACTGAACATCAAAAGTAATAGAGATTTAGAAGAAAACAAACTGAATTTAATCAAATCCTAGTAGAATGTAAATCTTGTGGTGTAGGACAAAGCAAATATTTTTCGCCGATTCGGATGTCAGGAAACCTGTTGAAGATTCAGAATCTCTTCCTGCAGCCTCTCATTTATTCTGTAATTTCTTTTCTTTTATATCTCGCCAATAAGATCACTTATGTGAATGGGTGATTCTGGTCATTTTCTCGCTCAAAACTTGTTGCTGTTTTCCGCTACATAAACCGAGTACTGACTGGTTTGCATACCCAACCTATTTAATTTGGTACTGCGATTCATCAACACTAAATTCAAATTAATGTTGAGTTTAGTGCTCTCATGGCTACCTTATGTGATATCTTTATATCTAATTAAATTGAGTATATATTTCAATTCCCTAAACTATAGCTTGAAAATTATTGATTTCACTGTCTGTACTTAATTTTAGGGCCAAATTCTCCTGCACTTACTAAACTTCTTATGACTCACATCCATATATCAAAAGATAGCTACTTACTTGAACATGATTTTTACCCGGTTTCAACCCCTTTTGGTGCCTAGATGCTCAGGAAGTCTTGATTTAATTCTGAAGGAATGTCTGGAAGGTATGCCCGTGGGCTCTGAGTACTTGAATTCGGGACCAAAATCCACCTTCCTGCTTGATCAATCAATGTACCAGCAGAACCGACCAAACTGAACAACTTTTCTGTAGTTGTACTAGTAACAATTACCTGATGAACAGATATTAGAAGTGTCTGTTTGGTTATTTTCGACTTTAGATTCATTTCTTAATAAACCATGACTGCCTGCTTCTACATCGAGTAAATTTGGCTAATCCAAACAGGGATGGGTATTCAGACTAGCAGGACTCTACTGTATAGAAATGATAATGTAAAAAGTGGTTGTTGGTAATAGTCATTACACACTTGTTGAAATGAAGACATCAAATACATGTTTTTCTCATGCCTTGTTTAAATAATCAAGACTGTTATCAATATTTATATAGTATTTAATTTTTTTTAAATGTTTCATGATAAAAAGTGTATATTTAAGGTCTAAGGTTAACAAACAACATGAATATTTTTACGTGAATTTGAACAACACTGGATTAGAGTAAATCAAAGAATGTGATTGTGACAAACTGATCTGATATGAGTAAAAAGAAGATTTTTTTCTATCAAAGAAAAGTTGAAGTTGGGGGACCGTGGTAGCCGAGTGGTTAGCATGAGAGACTCTCACGCCGCGGTCGTGGGTTCGATTCCCACCGTCGCCTCTGGCCCTTTTTTCCCGATAACCCCCAATTTGAACACACAAGAATTCGTACTATGGCTAATATGCAAGATCATAAGACCAAAAAAAAAAAAAAAAAAAAGTTGAAATACAAATCTACGAGAAAGAGAATTAATTTTTTCCATTTATATTCTTGAGTAGTGTCTACTTATGGGAAATTCGATTGTACTGTAGATGGCAAAAAACCAAACCTTATCTGAAATGTCAAAACACCAAGAATAGGCAGGCCAAACAGTCAGAAAAAAATTTCCCCTTTTTACAGTACACATTTTTTGTTAAAAATATTTCAAGATAAAAAAAATGCATGTATAAGGTGCACAACTCTGCTGTCATTATTATTTACATAGTACATAATTTTGGCCAAAAATATCACAAGACAAAAAAAAATGTTTCGATCTTTTATTGAGATCGAAACGTTGACACGATGAAGAAAATGTTTTTGTGAAACCCACATCACACCCGACCGCATCTCACGATATCTGAATAATTATTTACATAATACATAATTTTTGGCCAAAAATATCACAAGACAAAAAAAATGTATGTTTAAAGAGCATGACTTTTTATGTTGTTTAGTTTATATTTATGCCGAACAGAAGAAGTACGATGGTCAGCATGTTAGTTTTTCATATGATCGTACTCTTGCCTTGTGCTCGCCTTGTTAAAATAATTGTACTGCTGTTATTACTTACATAGTACATAGTACATTCTTTTGTTAAAAATATTTCAAGATAAAAAAAAATGCATGTTGTTCTTTATGTTGTATAGTTTACATTTATGCTGAACAGCAGGTGTATGATGGTCAGTGGGTTAGTTTTTCATTTTATCTTACTCCTGTCTTGTGCTCGCCTTGTTAAAATAATTGTACTGTTGTTAATGTTACATATTACAAATTTTTTGTTAAAACTATTTCATGATGAAAAAAAGCATGTTTAAAGTGAATGACTTTGTTTTTGTTGTTTACTATATATTTATGCCGAACAGTAAAGTATGATGGTCAGCACGTTAGTTTTTCATACAATACTCCTGCCTTGTGTTCACCTTGTTAAAATAATTGTACTGCTGTTTTCATTATTTACTCAGTACATCATTTTTGTTAAAAATGTTTCTTGCTAAAAAAAAATATATTTCTGTAATTTTACATTTTTGTGCAGGATTAGGATAAGAGATAATTGGTGATAATAGAAATGACACTTACACAGTTGGAATGTATTCTCCAGGAAAGGCATTTGTTGTGTAGCTGATGAGGAGGCAGGTCTTACCGACGGCACTGAAAAAGAGAACTGTTTACTTGGACGTACAGAAATAACTCGGACCAAGGATTAAAGAAGGGAGGGAGGCGTCAATTTCCATTAAATCTTTTAATCCCACGCGATGTCCCCGGGGAAAATGAATCGAGAGACGAGTCATCGGGTTAAAGGGCACGTCTCTTAGAGATAGGGTCATCCCTGGTGATAGTCGGCCGGGGGCGGTGTCCTAGAGTCCCGGAGTTGAAATTAACAAGGGCGGCTGTCAAAATTGTCAGCAGACTAACCTGTTTCACATGGGAGAAGGATCTGCGGAAGGTGGACGATTAAGTTCCGGTACTCACCCGTCGCCTACGACAACGCATTTGATGGCTTGCATTTTACTTCCTTTCTTCTCGGTCAACTGAAAAAGGATTAGGTCGCGAAATCAGCGTCAATGGCCGAGGGAGATCAGGGCCGAGTGTGTACTGTACTGAACAGGGCGGGGAGGCGATGAGGAAATCTCATGAATTCCGTCCTCCTGCTGAGAAAATCATCGACTGCCTGTCCACGGAGGTCGGTATCGACTCAGCAGCCGGCTCAGCACTCGATTCCAGGCTGCGCGGGGGCATCGATTCTGAGCACGGACCGCCCTCTTCAAATTCGACCTTCTACTACCTGGTCGTTCCCTCAACAGAATAAACTCATTTATCTTCTTCATATATTTGAGCTTGCTTAAAAGTAACAAAAAAAAACTATTTGTCAAATTAAAATTTACTCTTTTCTCATGTATCAAGAGCACAGTCGATGGGTGGCTCTAATGGTTCTGATCCTTCAAAAAAGGGTCATCCTCACCCAGTTAAGAATATATACTTATACTAGCTTTTACATGCAACTTCTGACTTCAATCCTACTAAAGTGGCCAATTTTTTTTAAAAATAATTGTATTACACCCTGTACAGAAGAGTGCAGTTCCTTGGCTCCATATAGAGAGCATGTAGGAATGCTTGAGCTCGGCAGCACGTATTTGTGTTCCCAGTACAAATTTTTGGAAGAAACTGGTTATATATAGTGCTGATATTGGGATACCCTAGTGTGTGTTGATAGTGAATGTATTTATTAATGTGAATATGTAGTGTGAAGGGTCGATGGCGGAATATTGAGTACACCCATCAACCCTCAATTAGGTTAGTTACATAACAGGTATAAAAAGTATACTTATACTAGCTTTTACATGCAACTTTGTCCACACAGGGTGTTTTAATGTACCTTCCTAATGCGATTCAGAGGATTACTATGGCATTTTAATATGTCTTGTTTTTCAAATTCTTCTATTCTTCAGTTCACTTCGGTCTCTACTTGGTAAAAAATTGTCCATATGATCCCCATAAGGATGCAATTGCAAGAAATCTTTCTTAACATTATAGGTATGCACTGTCAAAATTTTACCTCTTTAGATCCAGCGGTCTGTGCGATGTATGTCAGCCAGTTACCGAATATAGATTATATACTTACTTTAGGGTCAAAGCCTGCGTATGTATCCTGTGTACAGGCAAAGGTTGCTTGATGTGTCCCTCCTAATTCAAGGGTGCAATTCCTTGGCTCCATATAGAGAGCACGCAGGATTGCCACCTGATGTGAGAATTTGGGCACGGCAGCTATTTGGGTCCCCTGCTGTGATTCATGGGGGAAACTGGGTCGTTCTATTGCATATAGTAATAATAGTTGGGTATACCTATTTTGTATTGAGAGTGAATGTATTTATTAGTGTGAACGTTTCATGTGAGAGGGTTGATGGTGAATGAGTGGTATGTAAATAGGAGTAAATATATTTAAAAAGTAAATTACCATTTGTTCATTTGGTTAGATAATGTTGAGGGATTTATTTATGAGTATAATTTCAGCGCCGTAGTTGCTTGCTAGAGGATTTAGTGAAAATATTAGAAACTCCTATTTGTATATGTAGAGGCTTTAATACATTTCACTAGTGATAGTAAAATTTTAGCATCGGGGGATAATCAATTTGATTTCTTTTCGGATTGGGGGCTTCTTCTAAAACTCATGTAATATTTTTCAGATTTCCTCTTTTGGTCAACAGGGAGTTGAACCTACATCTTTTATTAAGTATACACATAAGCAAACATTCACATATACCACTGATTATATCAGCTTGAGCTGTGACAAGGGTAATTTTTAGTTTTCGATTTCTTAATTTTACTTCTACTTTAAAAATATAATCAAGTTCATAATTAAATAAAAATTTATAAAAACACGTGTAAATATATATTTCTTGTACCTAGCAAGTTGAAATATAAATATTTGTACCATCACATTTTACCTCATAATTTTTCATTCCAAGCTATCCTGCACCACACTCTTCCATGCCTCAACAGTGTCGTTCTTGATCTTTAAATCCGTAGAGAACCAATTCAAGATCGTCTTCATAATCATCCATCTTTTATATCACATTCTTTCCTAATTCCAATTCCACAAAGTTTACCAATGTAGTCCCCATCTGTTAATTTTTCTATCTTTCTCATTTATCATTCCTTTCTTTAGTAGTAGTCTTCATAGACTACACACAATCTTCCATCCAATTTCTCCAGCATCGTATTCTTTCATGTAACACTTCCATAGTCTCGTCATTTCTTGATCTTTAAATCTGTAGAGGACTCAAGATCTTTCTTGTCAATTTCAATCTTTTGTTGAGCCCATTTACATTCTCAACTAAGACTACTACCAATGATTTAATAATGTCATTTGAAGGAGTTGCAAAGAGTAAGTCTGAAGAGCATGCCATTTGTTTAAGTTTGTACAAAAATAGGACTTCAAGTGTTGTACATCTATATTCAAGTAATGTTAATGTATCCTTTGAAATTTAAAAAAAGGTGGAATTTATGTTGTATTTGTTCTATTTGTTCAATGTAGGTGTTGTAATGGGGCCACCAGAAAGTGTTGATGGCTGGTGGTTAGCATTAGTGCCTTCAGTTATAGAGTCTTCGAGTTGCATGATTCGAGGATTGAGGTCTTTTTGGTGGTGTCTCGAAGGGTAAGGAAACAGAACAAAAGATTTTTACAAAGTATTGAATAAACGAAAAAGTAATAAAAATAGATATTTTTGTCTTTCAAATTGAATCGAAACGTTCGAACTTCATTGAAGTTTTCTCCGACAGACATCGAATCCGATCGATTTATCTCTAAATTGAATCGATCGACCCTGACCGTAATCGTATTATCGCAGAGTGTAGATACTGATAACAAGAACAAGAATCAAATAAATAAAAACTGAATAAAAGATATATTTATTTTCACTAAGTCCCCTCTGGATTGGAGCCTCAGGCCAACAAAAAGAAAAAGCTTTGTTTCTATATAGTTAATTATATGAAAATTACAAAATGTCAAATTTTGTATAGTCTATTAAAATGAACTGTACATTTTTGGTGGTGGCTCGAGGGGTAAGGAAATAGAACAAAAGATTTTTACAAAGTATTGAATAAACGAAAAAGTAATAAAAATATATATTTTTGTCTTTCAAATTGAATCGAATAAAACGTTCGAACTTCATTGAAGTTTTCTCCGACAGACATCGAATCCGATCGATTTATCTCTAAATTGAATCGATCGACCCTGACCGTAATCGTATTATCGCAGAGTGTAGATACTGGTAACAAGAACAAGAATTAAATAAAAACTGAATAAAAGATATATTTATTTTCACTAAGTCCCCTCTTGATTGGAGCCCCAGGCCAACAAAAAGAAAAAAAGCTTTGTTTCTATATAGTTAATTATCTATATCTAAGTCTATATGGAAATTACAAAATGTCAAATTTTATATACTTATCTATTAAAATGAACTGTACAGTTTTGGTGGTGGCTCGAGGGGTAAGCAAATAGAACAAAAGATTTTTACACAGTATTGAATAAACGAAATAGTAATAAAAATATATATTTTTTGTCATTCAAACTGAATCGAATACTATGTCCGAACTTCATTGAAGTTTTCTCCGACAGACATCGAATCCGATCGATTTATCTCTAAATTGAATCGATCGACCCTGACCATAATCGTATTATCGCAGAGTGTAGGCTCAACGAAAGGCAACTTCTGCGTCTTGTTTATCAATCGTTCGCGAAGTTTGGGCTTTTCGTCTAAGTTGTTCTGCGGCTTGGAACTTCGCGAAGTGGACGATGGCTGCTTACAGACTCCGGCCTCTTCTCACCGCACTGCCCAACACGAGGAACTTGTCCCTCTATAAAAGCAACATCTCACTCAGCAACTTGTATCCAAAAAGTTCTCTCAACTTTACGACCCCTGTGTCGGTGAGGAATGCCCGGAATGGCACATTTTACCAACACATATTTTATAAAAGATCATGTTTTAATAAAGTAATTACTAGTCATTTAATATGAAAAGTTTTGCAGTCTAATAACTTTTGAACACTGGATCAAGGTTTGATCTTGAAAGAAATAGCAAATTCATTTATTACTGCCAAGCTTTAGATCTATTTTAAGGTCATCATCAGGACGAAACAACCTACAGGTTGACATATTTGTTTTTTGTATACAATCACAAATTTTCTTGAAGACTCAGATGTAACATTGCCAAGGAATAGTCATCAAATATGTCAATCTGTAACATTAAAAAAAAAAAAACCATTTTATTTATACCATATTCATCTTCGTACATTTTACAAATATGATAACAAAATATTTTTTTCACACAGTCACAACAATAACACTAATGCTAGCGCTGCTCCCGGAGTACACATGCCATGAGAAACCAGCCAATGTTGGCACTCAATGCGAGGGGCAAAGAGGTCACGAGGCTATCTTCGATTAAGGGATGGGAATGTGTAGAGAGTAGTTAGCATGGGTTGAGAGATTGGTTTTAAACTTTTGGAATGGATCAGTTCGTTGACAAAAGGAATGTTGAGGTCATTGTGGATAGTGAGGCTAGTTACGTAATAAGGAGCAAAGTTGAGGTTATCGACCTGCAGCATACAATGTTGCGAGTTTGACCTCCTGAAGATCCAACTCCTAACATCGTAATAAGGAGCTTTGACGATTTGTCTGCGGGCTTTTAATTGGAAGATGGGATGTGCTGGATGTTGGACGGCAGAACCCCACAGTTCCACTATGTCCAAAGTGGTCGCAGTAAAGTGTTGCATAATATTAGTTTAGTTTTGACAGTCAAGGCAGATTTTAGTCCTAGAAGTCTTCGTAGTTGTCCAAGTCTTCTGTTGTAGTCTCTTAAGTCTTGTATGGGGATTCCATGTCAGCCTGCTGTCTAGGTACATGCCTAAGTATTTAACTTGAATGGAAGTCTGTATCTCTTTGTTGATGTACAAAACTGTTTTCTCAATGTGAATACATTGAGTACATTTTTCTTCATTCGGTCTTGTCCTCTACTTTTTGCACCAGTTTTCGATAAGCACAAGGTGTAGTTAAGATTGTTCACAGACAATAGTTGTGGGTTATAAGCAGGGTGAAGCAAGTGTCAAAACTGACCTGAGATGTATGAGACGCTACAAGCCTGACTGACAGGCAAAAATGGCCAGTCAGGCAGACAAATGATCACAGGCAATAGTTGATGTAGGTTATAAGCAGGGTGAGGCAAGTATCAAATCGACCTGTGAAGATGGAGAAGAGACACAAGTCTGACACACCACAGCAATAACGATCAGAAATGATTAAGCTTAAAAATTGTTGTAGCTGATGAAATATATAAGCAGGGTGAGGCAAATGTCTAAAATTTCCTTGAAGACCGACTCAGTCCTAACATTGCCAACATGCCTTAAATATGTCAAACTGTAGGCAGATTTAAGATTGTTTTGCCATGATGACCTTAAAATAGGTCGAAAGCTAGGAAGTAACTACTGAATTTGCTTTTTTCTTCAAAACCATAACTTGATCCACTATGGTCAATAGTCAATACTTCTAATTCTAATAACTTTGTTAGTTATTTACTTTATATTCATTAAACTTGTCTCAACCACAAAACTTTAAAACGAAGTGAAGCGAAATCCAATAACTGGCATAAAAAATTAACAGAATGGAGTAAAAGAAACACGGTGACATCTTAGATTTCTTGTTGAGGTCTGCCGATTCATGTATAGCTTGGTCGCTTCAGATTATTTAGGTATGTCAGACCATACAGGAGTTTCAGTAAAATTGATTAGCAACGACCAGGTTATGGGTTTTAGTAAAATTAATTAAGGTTTTTAGTCGAGATAAAAAAAGTCAATGGCACGAGCGGGATTCGACCCCATGAACTTCGGCTAGATATACCGCTACTCTACCACTTGAACTATCGTGACCTCGATCCACTCGGACACTAGCTTCCCATCTCAACCCCACATCTTGAATTTTCTCTCCTTTTTGCCATTTTTTATCTCAACTAAAAACTTTAATTAATTGTAATATATTAATTGGTCAAGCGAACCATGAAATTAGTGAGTTTAAGAGTATTTTTTTCGTCCGATCATCATTTTACGATCGACTGTGTTGCAGCAAATGGAGGCCTGTTCGAACAATTATTATAATGATTTTGAACATTTTTGGTTTGCTAACAAAGGAGATTGTTACATTTATTTAATTTTTTTACTTTACCGGAAAAAAATACTCTTAAACCTTAATCAAATTAATTTGGGAAGAATTTTTTTAAATTTTTACATTGTCTTTGAATAATGTTTTAATAATATTGGTTTTGTTTATTTTCATTCCAACCTACTAAAACTAATTTGTAATGAATGGTGCGTTGAAAAGTGACTCGCCTATTTTTTGGTACGAGACTAACAAAATAAAATGTGCCGAGTCATAATTAGACGCACCAACGTTGATTTTCCTATGGTGCACCGAAAATTGACTCACTTCCTTTTTTTAATGTTAAAATTAAAAGAAATAGGCCTTGAGTCAGATTTAAAAGCACCCACGTTGATTTTCCAATGGTGCATCGAAAATTGACTCACTTTCTTTTATTAACGTATTAATCAAAGGAAATAAGCCTCGAGTCAGATTTAAACGCACCCAATGTTGATTTTCCAATGGTGCGTCAAAAAATGACTCACCCTGTGTAACATATATTAGAATTATACTGCATACACATTTAAGATGGCAGATCGAAAAAAACTATGAATAGGAAGTCCAAAATGATCAAAAATGACCAAGCTACATGTTCAAATTTTCTGACAGTTCTTTTCAAGGTGTGCTTGTAGTTGGGACATTTCAATCATTTTGGTCATCTTTGTTTCTTTTGTCTATCAGGAGACATAACAAAATTGCATGATTATAACTTTTGAAGTTTTATTTTGAACATGAATAACCAGGCTGAGTCCAATTACTGACAATAATTCAATTTTCAATCATCAAATTAAAGCATTTTATAAGAAAGGCCATTTATTTTTTACCTAACTTCATACTTAGATTCTCCATGAATTTTGGCCATTTCTGATCATCCTGGTCTAGCCATTCTCTTGTTTGGTTAATAGACATGTACAATTTACTGATGATGGTGAGAAATGCTGAAACACATCTGACAGGCTAAAACGGCAAGGTGATGATCAGAGATGACCCAACTACCGGTTCATCACACCATAGAGCAAAAAATTATATTATTTATTGTATGATTTTTTTTCCTTTTGTATCGACAATTTTGTAATTTTGGTAATAAAACCATTAATGTCCAGTTTTGAATGTAATCTATATTTTTTTAGATACCTGATAATGGTTCTGCTTTCTCAGGATTTATACCTGTTGGTGAGTAGCTAATTTTAATTATTATCTTTCAGTTTGTTTTTTCAATTAGAAAACTGATTACAGATAAAGTTGATATTACGTACAGCAGGAGTTCGGGTCCTGGTGGTCAACATGTAAACACGGTCAATACAAAAGTGGACGTTCGCTTTCATGTCGAATCCGCAGAGTGGCTCAGCGACGATGTCAAGAAAAGGATATTGGAAAATGTGCGCATGTTATTTCAACAATTATGAGAATGCCTTTCACCACTATTTATTTATTTTTCAGCTAAAAAATAAGATTAACAAAGATGGTTACCTCGTAGTACGTTCGGACAAAACTAGATCTCAAATTTACAACCAAGCGGATGCCATGATGATTTTACGAAGGTTGATTCACTCCGCCTTGGTCACAAAGCCAGCCATCACACAAGAAACTCTCGAAGTGCTGAGAAAACGGTATATCTCTATGAATATTTGAATATTGTAGATAATAATAATAATATTATTATTATTCTTTTAGTAAAGAGAAAGCGAACCAAGAAAGGTTGATGAAAAAAAGAATGCATTCACTTAAGAAAAAGGATAGACAGGATAATTTTTAATCTACTTATGGTTTTTTTGTAAATAATAAAAATTACTAGTTGAGTTCTACCATTTTTTTTGTCAATCATTCCAGGAATTTGAAATATACTTTAGATATATATATGTATTTAATATATATGTAATTTATATATATGTAATTAAAAATTGGTAAATATTAATAAAAACCCATTTTATGTTTAGTGGTCTAATTTTGACCAAATTACTTATTTCAATTAATTATTCTTTTTATGTAATCTTGGTTGAGATAAAAAAGTCAGTGTCACGAGTGGGATTCGAACACACGACCTTCGGCTTAATAGGCTGCTGCTCTAACCACTTGAGCTGTCGTGACTTTGATCCACATAGACACCAACTCCCTGTGGGTTTGAATCCCGCTTGTGACACTAGCTTTTTCATCTCAACCAAGACCTACATAAAAAGAATAATTAATTAAAATAAGTTATTTGGTCAATTAGACCACTAAACATAAAATGGATTAATATTTAATAAGTTAAAAAGCACAACTTCACTAACAGCTCCCCCTGGCCACTTCATAAATCGCTGATTACACAACATTTGAAAAATGGCAAAAAGATGGAAAATTCAAACGGTTGTAGGTTGAGATGTAGAGTTGGTGTCCGGGAGGAGTTAAGTCACAATAGCTCAAGTGGTTAGAGCTGCAGCGGATTTAGCCAAAGGATGTGGGTTCGAATCCCGCTCTTGACACTAGCTTTTTCATCTCAACCAAGGCCTTACATAAAAAGAATAATTAATTGAAATTAATAAAAACATTCATGGCTACTGTTACAAGTGGAAAATGGGAAGACATTTTTTTTTTGGCACTGGGGTGACCAGACTCAGCCAGAAGAGATGAGGGGTTGAGCAAGGCCAAAGATGTGCGGGCGGATTGGAAGCCAAAGGAGGCTGAGCCAGGGCTCAGCGGTGACATCAGTGAGGAGCCCTGCCAGTGAGGAGATGCTAAGCTCAAGCTTGAATAGGTCGGATAAGTCAGAAGAAAGGGTAAAAAGGACTTTATCGTGATTTTGGTACTTTATTTTCTCATCATCGTAGAGTGGAGAGTTTGTATGTGCGAGGGAAGAACTGCTCTGGAACGAGAAGGAAAACAACAGGGAACTTTTCTTTTATGCATTTTTTTTTTAAATTATAGAAGAGAACTTGTTTTATTTCTTTTTTGTTTTCCATTTTATTCACAATACAGAGGACATTTTATTTTCCTGTGTTTATATATACTTTTTTGTTATTTCACCCCGAGGGTTCACTGTTTCCCAAAAAGGAAATGCAAAAAACAGTGTGGTGCTGATTATTTTATTTTTGGAGACAAAGCTGCCACAGGAAAAAAAATTCCACTGAGCCCCAGGTACCCGGAGGCTGGGTGAATTGTAAATGGTCTGAATAGGAACTGGCAACACTACTTTCCAATATGGAAGAACTTGAAAAATTTACTAATTTACAGGATATCGTCAAAAAATGATCTTCGCAACTGGCACATCTTGTTTCATTTTCAAGGGTTCAAGAAATGATTAATTTAATTGATGAAACTCAAATGTTTGCAGATGTAAATCGTCACTGCTGACTCTCCTTACATTGTAGAACTATTCTGACCATTCCATTCTATCCTTGTTGATAAACACTCAAAGACAAATAACTAGACTTTTATTTAGTAGTTTACTATTTTTATTAAATACATTAGATTTCGTGGTCCGATTGACCAAATAACTGATTTCAATTAATTAATCTTTATGTAAGGTATTGGTTGAGATAAAAAAGTCAGTGTCACGAGCGGGATTCGAACCCACGACCTTCAGCTAAATACGCCGCTGCTTGACCACTTGAACCACCATGACTACGATCCACTTGGACACCAACTTCCTATCTCAACCCACCTTTTCAAAATTTCCCTCCTTTTTTCCAATTTTCAAATGTTGAAATCTATTCCATTCTCGCCAACAAATGAACCGGCCACGGAGAGCTTAGTGAAGATATACTTCATTTTACTTTCTAATCCATTAAATTTCATGGTCTATTGACCAAATAACTTATTTCAGTTAATTAATCTCTATGTATGGTATCAGTTGAGATAAAAATTAATAAATAATTCAATTAATTATTTATTTTTATCTCAACCAATAGCCTTGCAGAGGGTTATTGATTAAATAAGCAAGTCTTGTGAAACAGAATTGTATTCTTCAGCGGTTCGAGGGTGTACTATGCTAGTCGGAGGCGGCAAACGATGATCTGTCTCTTCCATGAACTAAGCTGCGATAACTTTTCATTGGGATTCAGGTCAAGAGAAAGTGCCGGCCAATTCATTGTCATAATCGCTACATCTTCCAAGTAATGGGTGACAACTCGAGCTAAATGTGGAGCGAATGCAATCACAGCTTCCAGAACTTGCTCAGTATACCTTAGTGCAGTCAAAGATTCATTCTGTATGATAATCAGTTCAGTACAAGCACGTTGATTCCACCCCTGTTTGAAAAGGTCTTTGAAAAGCTGACATACAAAGCAAAACGTTCTCCACATCTCATTGTTAAGTGTCCAAGCGGGATACTGATTTGCGAATAGTCGTTTTTCTAATCGATGCCTCTCTAGAATAGAGCACCCAATGTGGGACGTCAAGAGACTAGGCTATTCTTACGAAGCCTTCTGATGATTATTTTTGAGCTCACCTTACATTACAGACTGGTTGGAGTTGACCTCTATCAAGGAAGCCATTGATGGTGCAGTAAGATCAATAAAACAATCGTCTCTAGCCGGTGTTCATCTCAATCCACTTTCTCTTCGATTTAGACTAATAGAGGCCAACTGCTGTAGATTATCGCAGATGGTAGACCAGGTCATGGGTTCAAGTTCCATTCGTGACACTAATTTATCTACTCAACAGCCATTCCATAAAAATTAAAAATAATAATAATAAATACAGCTAATTAAATAATCGACTATTAATCACTGTACCTAGTTATGTAAAATAAAAAAATAAATATAAGTGTTCAGTTTTCGTCTTTGAATGCATATAGTTTTAACAGATGAACGAATTAGCTTTTATCTCGAATTTAGCTGTATAAAATGATGAGGTATACATTGAAAACAGCATTAGTTTTGATTTTTTTTTTGTAATTGTTCTTTCACTCTTCATGTGGGCTATAAAGTACAAAATGATTAGATAAATGAAAATAAACTAGGCATTTACAATAGTCTTTTATGATATAACTACTTAACAAATTGAAACCCAAAAATACACTGTCGCTTCGATAATAATTTCTATACCAAGAATTTCTCCTTCGAAACGATAAAATTGGTAATTTATTTGCCAAAATATAAATTTGTTATATAAAAGAAAATTAGCGTACGAGCATTTTCTAAGATCCTCAGTCAAACTAGGTTATAATTAATATTAATTTTGTAAAAAGGCCAAATATACCAATTTAAAATTGTTATCTTTAAACAGCATCTTAAATCACTACGTTTCACAGGTTTATTAAAAGTTTTACTCGCTTATATTCAGCCATTGCTCCTTATGCTGCCATATACTGAGGGAATGAGTGTTTACATTGCCTGTTGTACTACTTCTCATGCCCACTTCCAGGACATCAATGCATACTGTATAATAATAATCGTATGATTCAATCATTACAAATATAACCTAGGACAAAGGGACCGTAGTGGCTGAGAGGTTAAGGCGTCCGACTTATCTGCCACGCTAGCATTTCAGGGTTTGAATCCTGGTAGAGCCCATGGCTTTTTAATTGGTAATAGTTTGCAAAGTTGTCAAGAGGTTTGACCCCCAGAGACTGAACAAAAATTTTCAGTCGTGAGATTCTGTTCAATGAAAGTTTACCGCCATTTTTATGGTGTGGTAAGTTCAAGGCTTTTTTTTAGGAGCACAAGCTAATGGCATTAAATCTTCAAGATAAACAAGCGATTATTGCTGAACTCAGTGAAGTATTGAAAAGTCTATCATGCACAACTGTTGCATAACGCTGAATTTACAAGGTTAAAGGCTAAAGATCCTAATGACGTAGAGCATATAACAACAGCATAACCAAATAGCTAAACTATCACTTTTTACTGCTTAGCTGACAGGGAAATCTGGGGGAGAAGCCAAAACTATCGTCAACACCTAACGGTTGTGACAGGAATTATTTTCCTCTTTTTTTTTTATCTAGGATGAGGACTAGAATCATAGTAGGACTGCTGACTGGACACTACCTCTTGATGCATATGTATGTAGGTGGTGAGTCAAGAAGATGTGACGATGCCCCTAGCGACAAAAAAAGTTAAAAAGGAGAACAAAAGAAAGACAAGACATATAGAAGTAGTGCTGTATATGCTTGTATCTGAAGTCCTGATGTATTTTATTATTCAGTTATTAAAAATAATTAAAAGTATTGTGGTTACTTTACTCCCGCATGAATAGACTAAATAAGAAGAAACACTATGCATGATGAGATTCATACTTTTGAGAGAATAAAAAGGCTTGCAAACATTCAGAAGTCCTTACAAAAGCTTTAGGATCTGATAACAAAACAAAGTGTCATGGGTTCGAATCCCACTCGTGACACTTTTTTATTTCAACCAAAACCTTACATAAAAAAATTAAATTCACTAGTTTCATGGTCTGCTTGACCAATTAATATTTTACAATAAATTAAGGTTTTCAGTTGAGATAAAAAAGTCAATGGCATGAGCGGGATTCGAACCCACGATCTTTCGCTTGATACGCCGCTGCTCTACCACTTGAGTTATCGTGACCTCAATCCACTCGGACACCGACCTCCCATCTCAACCACACCGTTTGAATTTTCCCTCCTTTTTGCCATTTTTCAAATGTCGTATAATCAATTTGATTCTCAGCGACAAATGATTTTTATATTATTATTACATTTTTATCTCAACTGAAAACCTTAATTATAAAAAGATTACTTAAGCTTAATGAAGAGCTCTAGACAATAATTTTATTTTTATTTTTTGCCAAGAGGGGAAAAAGCTGAAGTTTGATCAGGACCCCCCTCTAGGTGAGTGGCACTTGCACCAACCCATAACTGGCAATTTTCCCATCCTGAAACCACTATTGGTACCACAGTGCTTACCAACTCTTATAAGCCACCTCCCAATTCATCTTCTGTTGCCAGACCTCAGATGATGGTCAAGCAGATGAAAATGGCCAACCTCATCCAGCCATTGCAAGACCTAACGGTATTCTCTGGCATCATCTGCCCTATGACTGTATCCAGTTCAAGGCATTCTGGTGCCCATTCACATTTAAAAAAATATTTGGTGAGCGTCATCCCACCAAAAATACACGGGTCTTCCATCTTCGCCATCTTGCTGAGGTACAAGACCTATCAGGAGTTGATGAGTAGTGGACCTCTCCGTATCTCCTCAGATCAAGAATTGGTGACCCGAACCAATCTGACCATCTCCTGCACGTGTCAGATCTTTCCTTCCATTTATGTGAAGTATTCCTTTTAGCCATTTTTTCTGCCTCATCCATGCCGAGTATCCTCATAACCATGTCTTCATTGATCCATTTTCTATCCAGAGCCAATAGATCACTACCGTCAACAATGATAGGACAATAATGAAGACTGCACAATTGACAACTGGTCATAAAGAGGCAAACTCCTTTTATCCCTAACCCTTTATCTTATAATAATTGACTATTTGAATGGAACCAAAAATAAAATTTTCTATGTCGCTAAGTAGCAAGTGAGCAGAACACTGGAGAACAATGGAAGAACTTTCCACTCGTACTGATGCATAAAAAAACCTAGAAGGAGCATCAGGAGCAGGAGCATGGTCGCTCATGTGACCTGTTTGCATAATCATGAGCGATTGCTCCTCATTGCCACAGATGTGCTACATATAAACTTACAAGCATTTATCTCTAGTAACTTACACTTTTGCTAGATCAGCAATTAAATTGTTTATATCATTTGGGTCGGATAATTATTGGAAATATTACAGTCCTATTTATAGTCAAATATCCATACAGTAAAAGTTCAGCTTTCGAACATAAAATCATCAAATGGTCATTTGTTGCTCATCCTTCAAACAATATTTTCCTTTAATTATTTATTAGCAATCAGAAATTTGATTAAAGATGCTGTTCAAATCAGTTGATATTAAATGTTATTCAGAAATTATCAGAAAGTCAAGGAAAAGTCAGTTATTTTGTTTTGAGGACCTTAATTCGCACTTAATAGAGTATGAAAACAAAGTTTCACAATGTATTTCGTGAATTTCAGAAATATCACATGTCTGTGTAATAACCGTTACTAAAAAAGAAAAAAATCAAAATACACAATTTGAATTATCACAGAAAATAATTTATATCTTTGTTTAAAAATAACAAATACTAGTCGGTAAAATTAAAAAATAAGGGACATGCTCGTAGAGTGGATACATCTGTGGTTATTTTAGGGACAGTTTCAGCCTGTTGAGATCAATGTATAATACTTTCTTTTCTTGTTACCTAAATTTCTCAACATTGACATCTAATTTTTTAACAATTCTCTTCTTGACCTGAGCGTCTTCTATACTCGACAAAGCACACTCTTGGCGTAGCTGCGACCACTTCTCTCTGACTCTTTTGACTAATTTTTCTTTGTATCTAAACGCTGTTCTGTCAACAACCGATACGGATTTAACACAATCGTCACCTCCAAATTCACATACTCTGTAATGGTTGAGGATAGCGGCGTCCGACGGTACGTTTACCGTCCCATGTCCGGGTATGAATTCCCAGACGAAGTGGTTTCCCGCTTCTATTACATGCTCCGGTCTGCAGATGTATTTTGAACGCTGCTTGTGAGGATGGAGTTTGAGTCTTCTCCGAGTCTTCCTTAAAGTCGTCAAACTGCTTTCAAAAGGATCGTTCGAAAGCGATTTATCATCTGGCCACTGTAGGTAAAAGAATGCGTTTTGGAACGAAAACGATCCTGTGTTTTTTGTATTAATTCTTGTACCCATCCATCTGAAAATTGTGAACAAAATGTTAAAAATAATTAAATTCACTAATTTCGTGGTCCGCTTGACCAATTAATATATTACAATTAATTAAGGTTTTTAGTTGAGATAAAAAAGTCAATGGCACGAGCGGGATTGGAACCCACGACCTTCGGCTAGATACGCCGCTGCTCTACCACTTGAGCTATCGAGACCTCGATCCACTTGGATACCAACTTCCCATCTCAACCCCACCTTTTTTTTAATTTTCCCTCTTTTTTGCCATTTTTCAAATGTCATGTAATCAGATTGGATTCTCGATGACAAATGAAATGGCCACGGAGAGCTTTAGTGAAGTATACTTCATTTTAAATCATTAAATTCACTAATTTCGTGGTCCACTTGACACGACACAATACAATTAATTAATTAGTGAATTTAATGAATTAAAATGTATACTTCACTAAAGCTCTCCGTGGCCATTTCATTTGTCGTCGAGAATCCAATCTGATTACATGACATTTGAAAAATGGCAAAAAAGAGGGAAAATTAAAAAAAAGGTGGGGTTGAGATGGGAAGTTATTGTCCGAGTGGATCGAGGTCACGATAGCTCAAGTGGTAGAGCAGTGGCCTATCTAGCCGAAGATCGTGGGTTCGAATCCCACTCGTGCCATTGACTTTTTTTTTAATCTCAACTAAAAACCTTAATTAATTGTTAAAAATAATATCAAATTGATAATTAATTTATGTTGAACCAGCACACGGGCACTACTGGGTCTGTCTTCACTCGTGGGTTTATTTGTTTGAGTTATTCAAACGCGTTTCGGCATTATGCCATCTTCAGTGAAAAACTGTTTTTCAAAACCCGCGAGTGAAGACAGACCCAGTAGTGCTCGTGTGCCGGTTCAACATGAGTTCGCCAACTCGCAGACCAAACCCCATCATCTACTGATAATTAATTATTGAAAAACTTACTCAATGAATTCTTGTATCGTGTCATTATGTTTGGGCATGACTATTTCATCTAAATCGATTAAAGCGACAAAACTGAATTTATACATGCTACGGTACAGGCAGTCATTCAGAGCAGCGAACAACCCCTCTGTTCTTATTTCCCTCTGCGAGGCCATGTCCAACTTCCAAGGAAGAACCGTTACACGACCTAAAATCATACCAACAGTTAACAGACAGGTTTTCTGCAATTTTCGACGCAAATAATTGAAGTTTTGATCAAATCTGAAGTTTTAACTGACGGTGTGGATATAAAAATTTATTTACGACATGTAAAGCCAAAAAGGGGGCAGAAGCCGATTGGGAATGGCAGGACGATACAGCACTTTTTGACACTTCATTGGCTAACTTGAGTGGCAATAAAAAATCTCTTCTACTACCAAAGGATGAATAAATTCTTGTATTTTCTGGGTTGCTGTTCCGTATCCCTCAGGTGGACATTAATTTTCAGGGATGTCCATCAGCATCAACGACCTTATTTTGTATTTATTTTTATATTCTTATAAAATTTTGTTTCAACACCATTCTTTTCTCAAAATAGTACTCCTCTTTTCAACAAAGCCCTTACAATCCCTTCCTGCCTTCGCTTCGACCCCGTACACCGTTTTATGGTAAAAAAACATTCACCACGTTTTGCTTTCATGTCATTTTTTTTCCTTGTGTAACAAGAAAACTGTGGCATTTGATATGTTTGATGACAAAGTTTCAACTATTACTTAATTTTAAAACTAGGGCTACTAAAACCCAAAGACAATTCTTGTCATACTGGAAGGCTTAATGTCCAACTACTCGTTGGGTGTCATGGAGGAGGGGTCTTTACAATACTTTTTATATATTATTGACAATTAAAATTCTATGGGCTGTGCCGGGATTCAAACTCAGAACCACACGTGTGGTAAATAAGAGACAGACACACTGCACTCATGGGAAAAATTCTTGCCAAAGAAAGTCATATACATATCTTCATTAGTAAGGACCAGGGTCAATATCATCCCAGGTCACATTCACAGACATGTCAGCAAGGAAAAGTAATCATGCCATCCCATGTTGCATAAACAGCATCGTCAGCAAGGACCAGGGATCCATATCATCCCAGGTCACATTCACAGACTTGTCACTAAGGACAAATAATCCATGCCATCCCATGTTGCATAAACAGCATTGTCAGCAAGGACCAGGGATCCATATCATCCCAGGTCGTATTCACAGACATGTCAGCAAGGACAAGTACACAAGTACAAGGACACACCACATACCACTGATATCTCGCCATATGTTCACTATCTGAGGTTTTTCCAAGCTGAACAAGGGTGTAAAACTGTCCTGTACATATTTTTTAATTTATATTTGAAGCATTAAATAATTATTTACAGAATGGACAATTTGAAAGGTATGTGATTTGGACAAGGTTATCAAATACAATGTTTTTTCAGCTTAACATTGTTTTGTTCTAATTACATTTAATTTTAGAATCTGTTTTTAACTGGTACTTTTCATTTCTGGCAGATGTATTCGTTATTTTTATCATAGTACGTCAACTGGTATCTGATATTCATGTAACTAATTACATGCAATAATTTAGGCAAGTTTTTAGATTTAAAGACAGCGAGAGAGAAAAGATGAGTTCCCACCTAAGCGCATATAATGTCTGAGGATACAGTCTGTAGTCGAAGAGATGGAATCATTGTAAAAGGTAATGTGGTCCATCCCCAACAAACTGTTCAGTTCGATGAACTCCAGCATCTGAAGTGTCTGTTAGGAAAGAGAAAGAATTTTATTCGCATGACTATCATAAGAACAGCAGTCATTCTGACCTGGTTGTACGCGAAATGCAAAGGTTTCACGCAGATTCCGATTTTATCAGGAGGCGGTGTGGGCTGAATTTTTTTATTGCCAGTCGCCCTGTTAACTATCAGTCTATTTGAAGGTGTGAGAACAGATCTGCCCATTATTGAAACAGAATCGGGAACTGTCGTGTTTCCTTGAATCGGACATAGAACGAAGCACGCACTGTATTTTAAATTCCAGTTTTCCCTTATCACCTGAAATTTACCAATTATTTAGATTGCTATTCTTTATTAAATTTTTCATAACTTTACCTTTACTTTTCCTGTTACTGTATGAGTAGTATTACTCGCATTATACCAGAATAAGCACCATACTCGGTCTGGACCTCTTGTTTTGGTCGCACCCATTATTCTTATCAACTTGGTAGTCCTCCAGTCGTAGTAGGCGGAAAATACAAAGAACTTATACCTGAAATTTTGAAACTATTTATTCATGATCTAAAGCGTTATTATATTTTTCTGGGTAATCAGACTGACCTTGTACCCACAACAGTTTGCCAAATTCCATCCTTCGCGGGAATACTGACATTAATGTTGGGCTTGAAGGGCGACAACTGGTTTGGAAGAAGATACTGCGGCCTGGCAAAAAGTCCAACTCTACCTTCTTCGGCAATCCCCTGATAGACCAAATAGTCCTCACCATGCTGCAAATTACAATCAAATGAACAAGTAATCGACCGATTAGATCAAGAGAAAAATTATGTGGGAAGAACTGAAAAATAAAGCATGCAGGAAAAAATATTACTTGAGCTATAATTACAGCATCCTCATAGTTTGATTTCTGGTGTGAATGCGGCCTTCTGTTCCTTGATCTGCTGCTTTGGTCAATTAGGAATATCTCGGTGAGAACAATCACAAAAAATACTGCAAAAAATATGATGACGATGCAAAACGACATGTTGGCACGTTCGCGCAACACGCGCCCAGACACTCTACCCATGTCATCTGGAAAAAAAAGAAGTATTTACAAGAATGTATTAAACTTAATTACACAAGCTAAACTAGAGCCTGATAATATAGATATATACAAATCTGAAAGTCAGAAAAGTCATGCTGGTTTTAATACAATCTGAATGAGCAGAACCAGTGTATTAAATACCACCTTCACTCAGGGGACCACGGTGGCCAAATGGTTAGAGCGCCCAACTCTATTTGCCACATTAGCACTTCTGTGTTTCAACTTGAACTTTTCAATTAGAAATATGAAAGCAGTAGAATAGTAGTTTAACCCCTTGTCCGCAACACCCAATGGGTAGTTGGATGTTAAGTCCTTCTGTATGACAGGAATTACTTCACTTTTTTAACACCTTCACCCTCAACCCTTCCCTGATGTTTGTGTACTTGTTCCAGTGCAGAAGGCATGTTTCCGTCAGTTTGCCCGTTACTGATTGTTAAAACTTGTCAACGAATCTGGTTTAAGCCGTATGAGCTACTGCTTAAATACAAGAATGCTGTTTGGCAAATGGAAACATTGTTAAAGTAGTAGTGGCTAAAAGAACTGTGCCTGGAAACTTATTAATCCACAGGCAGTCACCTCAACCTCAACCTAGCTAGTTCATAAAAATTCAGAGGCCAGATAAACTATTCTTTTGCGGGTCATTCTACTCTATCTTTATCCAACATATAATACATCCCATTTTAAAGTCCTCAGAGGGGGGTTCATGTTCCATACTACATTTTCAAAATCAAAACCTCAAAAACCTGTTTTCTTCAAAAATCGAAACAAGAGATTCATCATGTTCAAGATCAATCAGATGGCATTCCTACTGGCTCTCTATATGAATCCAGGAAATGCCACTCTTCAATTAAGCAGTATAGATCAAGAAATCTCTTTCTGCATGTGGGAGAGAATGATTTTAAAAGGAACGGAGGTGAACAGATGACTGCTGAAAACGGAAAGTTTGCGGTAAATGGTGGGGTCAAGGCAAGGTGATCCCATGTCGCTCAACGTGATAATATGGATGAAATCTGGTAATCCAGGATGTAACATACATCACCTGGCACATGCATACGATTCAGTTATTCTCGCATGGTAGCAAGCAGTTTTAAAATAGGTTTCATTCAAGGAGTTGGAGGAGGAATCTGAACTCCTGTTTAAACACAAGAGTGCTGTTTGGAAGGCGGGTGTGTTGTCAAAATGGTAGCAGCTGCTAGGAGTGTGCCTGAAAAACTGCAGTCACCACAACCTCAATCTCAAAACTATTGCCATTTGACCTCATATTAATTCACGGAAATTCAGAGAAGAGGGAAGACATTCTTCTCAATCTTTATCCAACAAGTAATACAGTACTTCTATTTTAAAGTCCTCAGCATCTAAGTTCCATATTTTCAATATTGCCCTTCACAATGACCTCAAAAACATTTTCACTTCAAAAATCGGCTCATAAGCTAGAGCTAGGTTACTGCCATCATATAACTAAAATTTTAATAATTTGTATAGTTTATGTTTTGAATTTTTCTAAGTGTTGTCGGGCTTTTTTTTGCTAAGATTTTGTTTTTGATTCAAAATAAGCCCCCCCGACTAGGACTAGCTTCAACACATTAGAGTGGTCATAGGTGTGGTAGTCTTGTATCATAAAACATCTAAAGTTTTAATGATTTGTAACCGAGCCTTGCAACAGAGTCGACGGATGACCAAATTTCGTCTTTTTGTGCCATCAACTTGGTTTGGTGTTTCAGCCGTTAAGTCCGCGGGACCGCGTGTTACCTACTTGCTCGTTTTTTATTCATCTTCTAAACTAAGTTTCGAGTTTGTGCTTCTTGTCCTATTCATTTATGGGCGTTCTACTTCATCTAAACCTTAACAATAAATGGTTATAAACCAACAAAATAAATCATATCTTTAATTATTGTTACACCATCTGTAGTAATGCACCATCTGTACAAGCTGCATCTAACGCATAGAATGAAGGTATAACAAATGAACTTGATATTTCTTCAGTGTGTCCTAAAGTAAATATAAAAGTAAATAAGATTAATGTCATTTGTCTTTAGGATTCCTTAATGACAGTATAACCCAGTATTTATAAATTATGGTATTCTCAACTACCATGACGGGCTCGCCCATACGTTTTCCAGTCTGAGAAAGAATCATCAGTATTTTATGTAAAGACTATAATGACAAAAAATAAAAGGGAGAAATAGGGCAAGAAAAAGATGGCCATTTCCACAAAGAGAAAGATATCGACGAACCACAAATTTGGACGATCGTCCCTGACATTCTAACGACCAGTTATCCAAATAATGGGATGGTCTACATTAGCTTCAAATAGGACGTAGGAATTACGAGAAAAAAAATCAATTTAACCAAAATAAGAAAGAAAAGATTCGCGATAAAATAAGATCGAGGTACAATAGAATATTATAAAAAACACTCAACTAGCCGAATAAAAAATAAAACTTATTTAAAAGACCTCGATTCACAGATAACCCACACTCTTACAGATAAGCGTATTCCGCCTGACCTCGGCAAACTAAGTCACTAATTATCGAAGCAAATAGTAAGTAAAAGGAACTACTTTTCACAAATTCCAATCGCTAAGTTGAAACGCACGAAAGGCACAATTCTATTTTCCTTAATCTAGTTCTAACAAGGAACAAAATCGATGGTGATGAGGTTTTTATCGAGTTTTTCTTACTAAAACATTCAGCCGAAGTATCATATAAGATTGTTTAGAAAAGAATAGGAAGTGTTATATTTAAAAAAAATCCCTACGCTCAGTACGCTCGCCTTCTTCAGTGTATGGTCTGAGCGATTTCTGAAAAGTCAAGTCTCTTTTATAACATCGTGAGGGTATGGGTTTGTCGGTGCCTTTGGTATAGTTTATATTGCCTGAAAATAAGCGTACTCGTCTTGTCATATCCAAATCTCATCCTGAATCTTGCGAATCACAAGAAAGCATAGATTTGTGTCTTCGCTCACTTCTCTTAAGACACACGTCGCGGTGCAGGAAAAATCAAGTTTAGCAAGAAATAGTCAATTGAATATAAGTTTATTAAAGCTTATGCTAAGTCCATCTAAGTCAAGTACAAGCAGTTTTAGTGACGTGTTCTTTCATGGCCCTTAGAAAGATTGATGTTTGGAAAAGCAGTTGGGCACTGCCGCTCAGGTAAGTCCAGATTTCGTCGGATGAGCCCCTGCTTGTATACGTGGTGCAAGCTCATTGGCTGTTGCCTGGAAAGCGGAACCATAGCTGAAGCAGTAGCGACGACTTGTCGAAACTTAGTTAATCACAAGCAGTCAGCATGAACAGGAGAGATTTTCTCCTTTTATTTTGAGCAGATGGGATGAACTACGAACAACTAAAATTTTATGGGCATAGTTGCGACGTTAAGGCAACAGAAACCTGTCTGAGACATTCCCACTCATCCATAAGCATCGACACCAAACGCCATTTTTACTTATTCTTAATTAGATAGAATTGGCCCAAATTGATCTTCGCGTCCAGCTAGGTCAAAAGAGTTCTGAGTATACGAAATTTACTTTTGTTGCTGATGACGTCCGCATTAACCTGATGCGCACTGACCTTTTAGTAACAGGGTCGTGTTTGTTGCCCTGAGAAGGGCCTGTGTTGAGCTGTAGAGCGTGACCCGGGTCACTAAAAGCGCCTCAATTATTTGGGGGCAACCTTTACGAGAAGACTGAGGATCCGCCACAAAGATTGATCTAAAAAAGCAAAAGTAGAAAGAGCTATTTTAAGGCCGGTGGTATTGTCTGGTGCTCTTGCAGTTGTGCTAAAGCCAAGCGGGTAGGAAAGGAAAGCAATGGGTCCATAGTATAAAATTTAATGTGCCGAAGCTAGAAGAACCGAGAATTGAGGGACCTTTAAAAGGGAAGAAACCCTTTTACCCCTTAGGCGTCGCATCTTTCAGGCGATGAAGTTCTTTTTCGACTGCACCTGGAGGTACGTGGCTTTGCTTACAGCATGGTGGGAGGGGACACAATTCTACTTACGGAAGAATGATGCTCTTCTCGAAGGTTCACAAGTAGAAAACCCTTAAGGATCAGGACGAATTTCTTCCCCACTTGCCCATTCCGATGGGATGATCAGAATCGATACAACTGACCAGCGCTCACAGTGAGAAGCTCAAAGGACTGAAAAAAGTTCTGTATGAACCTCTCGGTGTACTCCAGAAGATTTGGCTGTTCCATCATTCCCGAGTAGACGGACCCTCTATGACAAGGGACTTCCGAACAACAGGCCGGCACTGGCTTTCCATTTAATAGGAATGCTAACTACCCTTAGGGGAGTCCAGTCGTTCGATAAAGCTTTCTGTTAATCAGGCCCACCATTAAAACCTGGTATCCATCAGGAGTCTCATAAATGAACCACTCTAAACCCAAACCCAATAGCAAGTAACGGGTTTGGAAATTCGCGTCCGTAGTTCAGTCGGCCATGCTCCGTCCTCCGTTTCAGACACAATCTGGTTGTTCACCCACCTGTGATTCTGATCGCGCACCCGCCGTTCGTTCACCGACGATTTCGTCGCTCTATGGGATACACCCCCTCCCTGTAACCAAATTTGGGACTGGATGTTCAGGAGCAATGAAGGACGCAAAAGATTAAGACTCACTCTTATTTACTCTCTGCTAATCATCATTATCGACATTATTTATTCAGGGAAGATGCCATGGACAATTACTGGCTTCAAGCCTCCCCCTTTTATGGAGACGCATGGTTCAGATGGTTCGTAGGCCCACCTCTTCGGGTTGCAATCACTCTACAGCCGAGGGTCCACCCGCATCAGACGGTATTTGGTACTCTTCATAGGGTAAAGTGACGCATAGGTGTGTTGCGTCCTTTTACTAGGTCCACCCCGCCCAGGGAGAACTTAACAGGGGCTGCCACGTGTAAGAATGGGAGAGGTAATGTAAAAGTGAGGGCACTTCATTTCACCGTTCCTCACCTACCGTCCGCGGTAAACCATCAGTGAGACGTAGTAAT